TTTTGTACCTCTCTCACCAAGGCTCTTCTCCCCTGATAGCTCAGTTTGGCCGGACGGCCAGCTCTAGGAAGGGCTGTGGTCGTCCCAAACGTCTTCCATTTATGGATTATGGAGGCCACTGTGCTCTTAGGAACCTTAAGTGCAGCAGAAATTTTTTTCTAATCTTGACCATATCTGTGCCTTGCCACAATTCTGTCTCTGAGCTCTTCAGGCAGTTCCTTTGACCTCATGATTCTCATTTGCTCTGACATGCACTGTGAGCTGTAGGGTCTTATATAGACAGGTGTGTGGCTTTTCCTAATCACGTCCAATCAGTATAATCAAACACAACTGGACTCAAATGAAGGTGTAGAACCATCTCAGGGATGATCAGAAGAAATGGACAGCACCTAAGTTAAATATATGAGTGTCACAGCAAAGGGTCTGAATACTTATGACCATGTGATATTTCAGTTTTTCTTTTTTAATAAATCTGCAAAAATGTCAAAACTTCTGTGTTTTTCTGTCAATATGGGGTGCTGTGTGTACATTAATGAGGAAAAAAATGAACTTAAATGATTTTAGCATATGGCTGCAATATAACAGAGTGAAAAATTTAAGGGGGTCTGAATACTTTCCGTACCCACTGTACATCCAAAATTCATCTTGCAGCATGACAATGAGCATTGCGAGCACCTGCACAGAGGAGAATTAGTGCTGTTTTAAAGGCAAAGGGTAGTTACACTAAATATTGATGTTTTGTTGTTTTTACTGTGACTTTATACAGATTACATGATATACAGAACAATTAATACTTCATCAAACATGTACCTATCTGCGGCCAAACTTAGTCCCTAGCAAATGCACTATTTATTTCTGATTAAGCAGTTTGCTGAAAACTATAGTGAGCATAAACTGAAAATGAAACATTTTAAAAAGATATTTGTGCTGACTTTAAAGGTTCATGTTTTCAGTAGGAACCAGTGGACAGAGCAGGAAACCAGGGAGGTTTTGAGAGACGGACCAACACGTTATTGGTTTTGGTCTTTTCATGGGATTTGTTGGCAGTAACAAAAATATAAAATAATGCCCTACTGATCGTTTGATCCATTATTGGTTTATGTATAAACTTTAACTACCTCTGGGGAGTGCTTTCCAAACCTGGTTGACAGTGGACTTGTGAGCAATCTAAAAATGGAGATCACCATAGTTGCTGCAAAAATACTGCATTATGATGAAAGGCAGAGCTCGATCCTACTTGTCAAACACTCAGAATTTTGTATTTTGCATATAGGTTGGCTCAACCCATGGGACCATTGCTGTGAATAGGTCGTTTGTTCCTTGTTAATGTTGCATAACAAAGCTTATTGTACCATGATGAAGTGGGAGAAGGGCTGTCAGATTTCTGGGAAGAAATGAATTTATTGTTATAGACAGTCTTTTTAAAATTCATAGCAATCCTAGATTAGAAAAATATTTTTACTTCCCACACATCTGAAGGTTTCACTATGGGACAACCTGTTGAAATGTGCCAATATATTGCCAATACTGAATGGACAGTAAAAAAATGAACAGACAAAAACAGCTGTTTGAAAAGAACGTTGAGAAAAGCTTCTTTCAGTCTGTTTAAATAGCAAGTCTGTCATTACATCTGCCCTCCTCCCTCTTTCTTCTGTTTGGGTTTCTTCTTCTTCACTGGCTTGCTCTGAGACTGCGTCCTGCTCTTCTTAGCAGGGCTGGGCTGAGAAGCTGTTGCACTGTCAGCTGGTCGTTTGTGTTTAGCTTTGTCGTGTTTCTTTTTGTCACGCCCTTTTCCTGCCCATGGTTTGTCTGTAGAGGTTGAGTTGTCTGCTGCTGGTTCCAAAACAGGCTTCTGGCGCTTTTTACGCTTTTTGGATTCAGGCAGAAAGCCCTTCTTCTTCTTGGGGACTGGCTGTTGCACGGCCTCCTTGTCAGATGTTGCCTTTTCAACTTTGGGTTTTCTGTGAATGTGAATATGAAAATATGCTAGATTAACATGGCAGCTTTATTACACAAAAAGAAAACAAAAAAACATCTTGTCTAAATGATGATGTTGAGAAAACCTTATTGATTCAGGTAATGTCATTTAGAACAATAGGGACCAGAAAACAAACTACATTTATACAAGATCACAAGACAGTTCATTCAGAACAACCATCACACAGCCTCACAAACATTACTAGAAATATACACTAGCAAAGATTTAAAGCTGCGATGCCATTCACTTCATTCAGTCGTGATTAACATGGTCTTTGCAGACCAATCTGCTGGTTAACCCAGTTCCTATATATTCACAATGCTGTAGTGTTTCTTTTGGATCTCCAAACTGACATCTGATTGTCCCTAAATTCAGACAGGTGAATTACAAGGAAAAACACATTTTCATCAGTCAGTCTCAAATGCTCTGATATACACAGGCAGAAAGAAGAAGAAAAATCAGGAAATCAAGGCATGTATCAATAACACAGGGTTAAGTGAAAAGGAAAATTCTGCTCATGAGAACTACACTTTCGGGCCCTTCATCAGACCAATGGTCTGTGGATAGAATAATATTTTCTGCATAAGCCACAGTGTGCAGACTTTTCAGTTTGTCTCATGATTTATTTTTAAAGTCCTGGCAGCCAGGCACAACATTTCCTATAAGAAGAAGAGCTTCAAGCATTCATGTTCACTAATACAGGCCAAAATAAGTGAGGCATGGTGACAAAACTATGATGTGGGGGTATAGAGAAAATCTGATTAGTATTAGGATTATGAAGAAAACACATTTAGTTCCTGTGTAACCAAACTCCTCTGAGCAGCCTGGTTTATATTGTGCATACAAACACACAGCATGAGATTAATGCCTAGAGATTTCCACTTCAGAGATGGCGACACTACAGTAACTCACATGACTCCAAAGAGTTTCATCACAGCCCAGTAGGTGTCTTCCAACTTGCCAGTCTTCTTGAAAGTGATGGTGCTGGTCAGGGACTGCAGGACCGTCTGAAGGGGCTCCAGGTCCACAGAGAGTTTCTACACAGTGCAAGCAGCAGAAGCAGAGACTGAGTCTGGACTGAAAACACACTGACAGTTTTGTTTCCTCTCCTGCTCACCTTCTCACTCTCACAGCCAAACCTACCTTCTGGTGGACAAGCTTGATCAGGAAGTGACAGAGCTCCAGGGTTTTCACAACCTTCTCCTTCACTGCCTTGCTTTCTGTTTGGCCAACCTGCTGAAGACTCTGGGAGAAGACGACACAGTGATTATATCCACACGCTGGTCTTATCATCAATTGATCCAGGCACCATCACCCACCTCTGATTTGACAGCTTTGTAAAATGAAGCTCTTCTAGATCACCAAAGTGCATTATTTGTTGACTTATCAAAATTCGCATGTGACATTTTTGACATAATGTGTGCCTTTGCAGTGTTGCACAGAAGGTAGAGATTTGGTAGGGAATTAGACTGGAGCGTAAAAGCAGATGACATGCAATAAAGCTTCCCAGCTGAACTCAAACCAGGGATACTTTGATTGCATGGTCAGCATCTTAGACCCCTGTGCCACACTCCTGTCCAGCTATAAAAAGCATTTTTAATGGGAAGGCAGACATTGGCCTTTACGCTGAAATGCAGTGCTGACAGTGACAATCTTGGCTAGCAAATGTTACCAAAAATTGACTTTTCAAAACAAGATTTAGACATTTTCTGCAGCCAGTAGGACTTTAAACCCTGCTTTAGCATTTAGAAGCAGTATGCACACATTAAATAAACTGTTTATAATAACATTGTAAGCAGCTCTAAAGACATTTAAAGTATTTATTGTTGCATGGTATCTGTCAATAATTCTAATATCTCCTATGCAAACAAATGTATTATTATTGTTAAAGGATAATGCTGGTCATTTTCTATATTAACAGTATTTTCAGCAGTCCCCATACAAAGACTAAAACCAGCAATGATTGGCCTCAACCAATGATTAATGTCTGTCAATCTGTCAGAACTGCATTATTTTATTGTCTGGGGTCTCCAATGTTGTTCACAAACAACCAGGGAAACACACCGCTGCACCGGGTGACATGTTCCCTCATTAGGAAACACCAGATGCTGACGGTTTTTAAAACGTTCCCTCAAAGGCTTCAAACAACCATAACTTTTTACAGCATCTGATGCAAGCAAGAGTCAGAGAGCCCATGCACGAGATCTCTGGATTTTCTTAACAAATATTAGGGTCTGTTGTTTTGCGATGAAGAAACATGTCACTCGGTGCAGCGATGCGTTTCCATGACGTGTTTTTAATCATTTCTGAACAGCAATGAAGGTCCATGGCACGCAACTAAGCTAAGCCAGGACTGGCAGACATTAATCACAAGTAGAAGCAAATCATTGTTGTTAGTCTCTGTATGGGGAGTGTTGAAAATATGGTTAATATAGATAATGACCGGCCTTATCCTTTAAAACAACTGTGTTTTACTATACTGTCATTATGGTCTGTGGGTTTTATGGTTCATTTATTGAATTACACAGCATGGAAAAGATGGAGCAACGCAGGGGTGAAGTGATCTGGTGAAGAACTGTAGAAGCATGTAATTATGCTTGTCTTTACCCTCGGCTGTCTCGAGGACACACAGAGGGCAGCGAGTGAAGTATGGGCTGCAACCATCTTTTATCACAGCACAATGCAATCTCAAACAAAGGATGTTGGTGTTTGAACTTCTTTGCTTGTACTGAAGAAGTGAATTCATTCCGGTTTTAATGCTTATTGTTTTTAATGCTGTTAATGTTTCTCATTCCTTACGTAAAGCACTTTGAATTGGCTTTGTAGATGAAATGTGCTATACAAATAAAGCCTTGCATTTTAATTAGTTCCCTGGGAAGTTTGATAGAGAGCACAGTGCATCCCTACCAACAGTCATAGTGTGGTGTGGCCATACGTGACTAGAGTTCTCTTAAACCTGAATCAAATGTCTTTCGGTGGCTTGGGAGCAGTGCAGCTATCAGTAAACACAACACAGACATATCATCTTTTAACATCAACATGTACAGTGTGTTAGATATGGAGCAACATTCGCCCTATATTCACATGCTGCATAGCTCTGTTTATGGTCCCCACCAACTCCTGAAAGTATCTGGCTTCTTAGGTGCTAAATGCTCCACTATATGTTGGTGATAATTCTTGGTGGGTATGTCATTGGGAGGGACCCCTTTCACATTACATATATTCAGTTGTTTAATTGTTAATAGAAATATGTTGACTAGTAGAGCTCTAATTGGAGCCAACAGGGTCAGTCTAAACCATGAAAAACTTAAAATGGCTAACTGTCCACTCACTATATACACCCACAACTCAGGCCTTGATGAAACATTTGGTGACATTTACTCATTTTTTAAATAACATTCATAATCTACAACCGTGGTGTTTTGTTTCCACTCCAGCTGGACTGAAACCCACGTTGTCCAAGCTGTTATACTGCTATCAAACTCACATTATTACCCCTACAATCCAAATGTTCTGACTTCCTTGTTCAGGCTCGGTGTTAACCCTGTGATGTTACCCCAGGACTACAATTTAGAGCTGTGCTGACTTACCGCTGCCAGCTGACCTGTGACCTTCACACAGAGCTCTGTCCACTGAGCGTTACTCAGCAGCCGCTGGACCTCCCCGCTTTGCATCGCGCGCAACACCAACACACACGCTTGGCCCTAAATGCAAGCACACAAAGCAAGGTCCATCGATAAGAGATCTAACATACACGTGAGCAGAAGGAATTGGCCATAAGTAAATATGTAGCAGCTGAGAAGGAGAGAGGAGGTTCTCCTCTGCATTTGTGAGAAGTATTTAAACACACGATGCCACATTTTGATCACCGAGTCAGATCCAGTGGATGCCTGTTATACAACTGCCAAAAGCGGAAAAGTGCAACAATTACTGACTAAACTGTTAAAGAAAATTTTCATTAATAGACTGGGACATGTCACAGTTGGTTCAGGTATTCATAAAATATTTTTACTGTGACCATGTTTAGTCTAATTTCTCCTCTTCTCCCTCGATTGCCAGCCATGAATTCAGTCATGCAGTAGAGAAGGGTCAAAAACTTTACCTGCTGGTGTTCTCTGACCCCAGATGTGATGTGATGCACTGCGGTATCCAACAGATTCACACACAAAACCTGGAAATACCACACAAACTGCATTAGCTACTACCAGAGAAGACTTACTCTCTGTGTCTATGGTGTCGTGAGCTAATGCGTGTTCTCAGAATGAGATGTGTCGCTGTACTCACAGGGAATCTGGTGAACAAGTCAGTGAACATCTGAGCAGTCAGAGGGCTCTTCCTCCGGCTCAGGAAGGAGGTCAGAGCCTCTCTGAAGAGGGTGGAGACCCGATCCACATCCACATCCCCCATGAATCTCAGCTGCACACACAAACATCATAAAAGGTCAGATGACACACCACCAGGGATCAGACTTTATGTCACTGGAGGCATAAATGTAAGTAGCTGTGGGTGTGATCGGGGCATTTGTGAAAAGGAACAGAGGATATTTTTGACAGGTCACTGTGAAAGATATGGGTGTAAATAAACTAATTTTTGATGAGCAGACTCCAATTGGCTGCTTCGATTTAAGGGTCCTGGTATTGTCCTTGCTGTCACAATAAGTTTCCTTCCACCTGCTTTAATTTTAACTTTTAATTTGTACATACAAATCTAAATGAAAAAGCTTGAAATTAAAAGTGGTTTAACACTGGATTGAGTAATAACAATAATTACAATAAAGACCTACAAAATCTAATCAACACTCGCATTTAAAGAGGTGAAATCACAAATATTTGGCAATTTTGCATTAAAATGACTAAAAATGATCGACTAATTGTTTCAGCTTTAATACAGACAAAAATAAAAATGAATAAAAACAAGAAATCCCGGTGAGGAGGGCACTCTGAGAAAAAAGGGGGCCAAGTTTTCCAGCGCTGACCCACTTCCTGACCCCGTAAAGGAACAGTTCTGGAAGTTATTTGGTACAAAGCCGGACATAATATGTGTGATGAAACTGCAACAGTAACAACTGCACACCATGCAGATAACATGTGTCCACTGGCCAGCCTCTCCACTTAAAAGGGAAAGAAAAGCTTGGTCAAACCTTTGTCTGGTTTGTTTAGAGTAAAGTTGAAAAAACACTTGTTTAAATGTAGCTTCACCCACTGTGACCATCTGTGCCAGAAGCACTTCACACACTGGCTCATTAGGTTAATTAACTGACAGGTTTGCTGGTCTTTCTTCTGATTCTAAGGCAGCTGAAATCCAAAGGTGAAATAAATGAATTTGGGGTAAACATACGTCGTTGGCTGCAGCTTTCTCAGCTGCCTGTTCCTCTTTGGTCTGAGCAGGAGGAGCTCCTCGCAGGACTTTCACCACGTACAGAGATGCACTGCAAGGACAGTTCAACATCAGTAAATTACAAATACCCCAGGCACAAGTTTTGGTCTGTTGGACTCATATTATGTGAAGGCCCCAGTGGTTCATTCCTGACCTTGGAGACAGACATTTGAGTCTAATCATTAGGCGCTAATGGTATCTACAGCTGTGTGTTGTCCCAGTAGCTATGTTGTTGTCTAAGTAGAAGCATGTATAATGGAAAAAAAAAAAGTGGGCCTAGTATTAAACCCTATATAAACATCTTATATGTCATTCCCTCCATTAGATAATTTTTTAATATATCTTTTTTCATCTGTTTCAATGACCTGTGGGATCAGCAAAGATTCATCAACTCTTCTCTACTCATGCAGTCACACAATGTGGCATGTCAGTGAGTTTAGCATTATTTTCTATTCATCTCAGTCACTACATTGTACCTGAAGTAGTAGAGGCAGACTGAGGAGTCTGACAGTTTCTGGGCTTTAGCCATCAGTTTGTCCAGCAGGTCGTGGAGCTCCCCCTGCCTGTCACCAACAGCCCTGCAGTAAACCTTGGACCTACACAGCTGGTTCCTGAAAAAACAAAGCCCAAACAGGCAACATAATAAGTTTGTACCACAGTAGCTTATACTGCATTCACAAAATGTCACCAGAAAAGAAAAACCACCTATTTAGCCAACTGGTGTGTTTACACACGGTTACCCCAGTGCTCACCTTGTAGTCACATCATTTCCACAGTCTAAATTATTTGTTAGATACTTTTAGCAGTTTGTTAAACCAGGTACAAACAGTGTAAAGCTTTTTCTAAATTAGCTAAAACAAATTTTAATTGTGTTAATGTTTGATGAATCAGAGACAGTGTGAAGCACCTTGGTCCACAACTAAAGCGTGATACCTGAAGATGTCTGCAGTTCGGCGGAGGAAGTCTTGCTCCTGCTGGTCGCTGTCTGAGCTCATTCCTCTGTTGATGATGGTGAGCAGAGGCTCCACCAAACACAACACGAGAGGACTGCCAGCCTGTCGGGCTACAAAAACCTCGACGAGGTCCAATACCTATCACAGTCAAACAAAGGAGGGAGACAGCTTTGGGCATGGAGGAGTGTGTATTTTTGTGTTTTACTTTTGATGGAGCGAGGCTAGCAGTTTCCCGCTGATTCTAGTCTTTATGCTAAGTTAAACTGGGCTAAACAGACCCTGGCGCACCGTATACACAGATGAAACTAATATCTCTCTTATTTTCTGACTCTGGAAAATATGTTTGTTGCTGTCTTAGCCAAAGTGTTTACAAGTCCTTTTCAAGACAAAACAAAAAAACAAAAAAAACAAACAACTGAGGATAAGGCACCTTGATCTTAAAGTCTCGGACCAGTGCCTTCTCTTTCTGTAGCTTTGCCTTCTCATCCTTCTTGGCCTGGGTCTTTTTCTTCTGCTCTGTGAACAATGCTGACAGCTTCTTATCCAGCTTCATCATGGCTTCATCATCCAGATCTTCATCACTGCTGCCATCCTCCTCTGTGGCCTGAACATACATCACAACAAAGGACAGGCGGTTATAACCAAGAAGGCTTTGACACAATGTTTCACTGCATTTCTGTAGATTCTGCTGTGACCTGACCACTGTTAACACTGACAGGTCAGTTTAGTAATGTCTTTGTCAGTTATGCAGAGGTTTTACAGTAGACGAGGTTCAGATTTCTTTGAGCTAAATGCTAAAATGTTACCACACTGGTGTTTAGCACGTGTAATGTTTATCAGGCTCACCATCCTATCACGCTAACATTAGCTAATTAATATAAGTACTGTGGGACTGTCATTAGTTTTGTTAGGTATTTAGTCATAAAAACAAGTACAACCAACATCATACAGTGTCTGGAAACCATAAATGACCATACACATGTTTTGCTAATCCATCCAGTACATGTTCAAATATTTCACAGGTTGAGTGAAAGCACTGACCTGCTGGTGGCACTAAAGGAAAAGTGGAGTTCACAAAGGTCAACAGGACACATCCTCTGGGGAATCTTAATGTCTGTATCAAATATTATTTTAATCCATGAAATAACTGTTAAGATAGCTGTTTCCAGAACAAAGTGTAAGACCAACTGTCAACAGGCTGACATTACCATCCCTAAAGCTTTAAATATATAAAATCACATCAACAACAAAGAGTTTTTGCTGACAAAAAATCTTTTCTGCTCTTCTATTCCTAGGGCCTTTATCATTTAGGGTGAAACTAGAGTAAAGCTGGGTCTATAGCTATGAAACAAACTTGTAGCTGCCTTTGCTACACTGTAAGTAGCTGATGCTTCACACATCGGTGCTGTGACATATCACACACACTGACCCGAAGAGCCAAAGAGCTGTGACTGTTTGTGTAGCGGTGATGAAATGTCAGTGCTGTGTTTACAAACTGTTGTACAGCCCCAAGGTCGCATCCAACCATCAGTACTACTCTAATAATACTGCTACATACAAACCACTGACACCAGGACATGCCAAAAACCTGAACACCTACCAAAGCATTCTGCTGCTGCAACACCTTCATCAGCTCTAAACGGAAGTTTTGGTCCACCTGTTCCTCGTTCTCTTCCTCCGCTGCTTCATCATCTTCATCCTCGTCAGAGTCATCATCTGCCTCATCAGATTTGTCCTCCTGGCAGAGCCAAGACCACACATATCAGCATCAATTATTTCTCTAAAACAGTGCAATTATCAAAAACTAACAGCAAAGGCACAAATTTAGTGCAATCGTGAATAAGCAAGAAACTCACATGGCTACAGGCAGAATAAAGCAGGATACAAGATATATATGATGACAAAATTAGTTAAGTTGTGCTTAAGTAAAAGGAGGACACCTCCATTTCCTCATCGTGTTCCTCGTCATCTTCCTCCTTTGGCATCTCCCTGTGCGGTTTGTTAGCGTTGCTGTCGTCAGTGACGACCACAACGCTGTCCTCCTCGTCATCCTTCTCTGGGTTCAGAACCTACAGATGGCCCAAAGACACCAGCATTATTATCACATATACACATGACCAAGGTGACTCTGAATACCATTAGAGATCACTTATTTACTAAAAGATTCAGCGCGGCATCTGAGCAGTTAGCAAATAGGGACCAACAGCTTTGACAGAATCCAGTAAGTAGTGCAACATAGATTTGTCTTGCTTCTGTCTAGAGGGAATAGCTCACAAGTTTCTTATTCAACTTTGACATTTTTATACATGATGCTTCCCTGAAGCTGTTATCAAGTCTGTAGTGCTGACTCCTCCCCTGTAAACAAATTAGTACATTTAGTCACGTTTTCATGTAGAGGCTGCCACTTACATGCTACACTGGAGTGGCAACTGTTACTACAACATGTTGTGACTTCTTTTTACTGCAGGGCAGTATCATGTAGTACTGCTAGTACATTTCAGATCATATTTGTGAGAAGCCCATAACAGAACCTAACTTTTTTCTGACATCAAATCCAGTGTTTTTGGACATTACTGGACCAATGCTCTGTATCTAAGCAGTGCATCCCTACAGGTTGCAACATTACATTGTTTACCAACAGTGCGTATTTGAATAGCTTTTGGTCAGTTGTGCAGATTTCTCAAGTTTTGACTACTTTTAAGAGGAAAACCGGTTTCTGTGTTTACACAGTCAACAAATTCTACCAAATTAAAATATATCCGTTATAACACATGACTGAAATTCTATACAATCACATAAAAAGACAACTAAACCTCTTCCATGACCTTGTGGCGAGTGTCTTATACATATCAACAGTCAGTCACTTCACAATGACTGATTGTGTGTGTATGTGGTACTTACATCCAAGATGGCGGTGAGGGCTGCAGCAGTAACATGGGGGCAGATGGAGGAGAAGACAGTTTTGCAGACCTGTCTGATATGTCGGCTTGGCTGGGACAGCAGAGACAACAAGATGTCCACCATCACCTCCACCCACTCAGGCTCCTCCCCCTGCTCAGTGGCTGCAACATGGGAAATCCACACACATCCATACACTTTAAAGCAGCAATAACTGATTTCTTTGATCACTTGAGGGCAGACACGGGGTAACATTAGCGTTCATTTGCATGTTATGTTTGGGCAACTTGTCTCCACCAACTGGGCATAGTGTCTTTAGCTGCTAAATGTGGACCATAAACCCAAAACCATGTGTTAAAAAAATGCTACTGTGCTGAGTTAATTCTGTGGGGGGTTTTCATTACAAGCTACATGTTATCATTTGTCTTATTGTTAAAATAAAAATACTGATTAGTGCAGCTTTAACCAACTCCTTTTTAGAGATTGTATCAGAATGTGAGCAATTTAAAAACTAAAACTGAAACTTGAGCTTGTAATTCACCTGAAACTGAGCGGACTTTTTAAAATAATCAGTTTTTTGCTTCTTATTTACAGATGACAGAAATGGTAAAGAGCTTTTACATCACCTAACAGATCTCAAATGTTACTAACTACCATAATCTTTACTGAAACATTTAATCAGTATCAAAAAGACCAGAACGAAACCACTGATTTTGATTTTCTAGATCTTCCTCCCTACTGACCACACTGAATTAAACGGCTGAATTAAATCTGAAATGAAACACATCTTGGTTTTCTCTGTATTAAGGTACACTAATCACCTTCTGCCTCTAGCTACATTCTTAAACACACAGGCACAAGAGCAGCGTCAACCCTCTTATATCACTCTCTGCAAGAAAGCTATGAAGTGTATTTCACAGTACTACCATCACTGTGAATGAGGCCTCAACCTTGTTTCTTCTTCTTTTTCGTGACCTTCTTCTCCCGGGCTTTGTCCACACAGCTCTGCAGGTCCTTCATGATGTCCAGCAGCTCTTCAGGCGCCTTCAGGAGAAATACACTTATGACAAAGTCGAGAAGATGAACTTGCTCTAATTCAGCTCATTTTGATGCCAGAGTTCTGTTTTTGTGTCAGCACATGGAGATTATTTTAAGAAAACAACAACAGCAACAACAACAACAACAACGTCAAGCCTGCAATAAGCTAACAACAGTATTAGTATATCACGGCTCTGGTAGTATGTTGTACCTTGAAGAGGTGCATGCCGACTAATAGGAAGAGCTGCTGGAATGTGTCGTTCTCTGTCGTTTGGCCTTTCTTTGCTTTTTTCCTCAGATTTGCCACAGACTCCAACATGCTGGAAGAAGATGTGCAGAGACGGAGCTAACAAACATGTCCCTTCATCGTTCAGTAGCACTCAATCAACAGTGTGAAAAGTCAAGCATCTTATTTGTTTAACCCTTATGTGAACAGAAATGTAAAGATTAACTTGGGGAGTTCAGTGTGCAATCATAAAACTTTGAAAATAAAATCCAAGTTGTACCACACAGAATTAACCCTTTTAAATCTGTAGAACTAAGTCCATGGGCTTGGCTGTAATATTCTAATTGCATTAGAAGAAATGGCAGAATTAAGTTGTTCCCCATTAGCTTGGTTGTGGCCACAGAGGCTGGACTTTGAGGAGATTTATTTTATCTTACCTGTCCCAGGCCTGCCGCTGCTCAGGACTGAAGGGTTTGTTGCTCTGGACATATTTTGGTTGGCTAAGTAGGACCTGGGCATACTGGACCAGGTGGTAGATCCACAAGGTGCCATCAGCTGTCACACCCAGCGCTCGCTTGTGGCTGACAGCTGCACTTTCGGCCAAGTCCTCATTGAGCGGCAGGTGATGCATGGATAGGAGGAGTCTGGATGGTGGACAGAAAATGGTGATTCCACAGAGGACACAATAATTCCTGGTGGTCTTTGGACAAAACAAGGTTCCACTCTGACATTTTTCTGCTTTTGCCCATTTAATGCCTATAAATTTGATTAAAGGTAGATCCTATGTGATTTTAATAAAGTTAAACAACAATTACTGTACTGTAACAGCCGGTTTCTCCCTTACCTGTGATTTCTACCAGTGTTATCTTCTTTGTCAAAGGCTGAGAGGAATAAACTACACTGGCTACAATCAGTGGATGATATTTATAAGACAGCTGTCTGCGAGCAGCAGAGATGATTTCAACTCTTACCCAAAGAAAGAATTGATAAGCACTCCTCTTGTTCTATCATCTAGTGGGGCTGAAAGCTTCCCCTTGGTCTCTGCGATGTCATCTGAGGACTTCTTGGCACTGAAGAAAGCGTGGAAAAAGACAAACCTGGAAAAGAAACAAACACCACACCAACTGATGGTCTGGTCTTCATCAAACAAAATCGGCCTTCGTGATGCTCAGCTACAGATATGTCTCACCTGGCCACATCCATGATAAAACCCTCCTGCTTCTTCACCTGGTGGTTGTCAATGATCGAGGCAAGCCGAGCAACAAGCCACTTCCTCAGGCGAAATATGGAGTTCTCCCTCCTGAGGGAGGAAAATCAACATTTATATCCCATTTTTAATCCCTGTGTCTTTCCATTCAGGGTCACCAGACCAGACCAGACGAGAACGGAGAAGCTCAGACAGATTCACTAAAGATACAACAGGCATATACACTCACTGTTCCCGTTTTTCCTGACTGTCTTTCTGCTTGCGAGTGCTGAAGTCCAGCAGCTTGTCCATCTGAGGTTGCAGGAACATGTTCTTCAGCCACTCCACATAGTTCTGCAGAGCTGCAGGCTGAAGGTGCTGCACCACCTTCCACACTGACGGCACCACAGGGTAGCCCTGGTTGGACAGCGAGGAGAAGCCCACCATCACAACCAGCTGTTTGTCCGAGTCCTGGCAGCCTTGCAAGAAGTCCGACACATATGTGTCCATCTCTGGAGCCAGCTTGAAGCGATCTGATTTCTGGGAAAGAGAGATGATGAATGAGAGTTGTTATTTGTCTGGTAATGCACATGGCCCCTGGTTTAAGCAGATACACACTCATTCCTCCTTCTGTTGTCAAAAACAGACAAAGGCAATATCTAACCTATAGGTCTAGATGTAGCTTAGTCAGAATCTGATTGGCCACTCCTGGAGCCACCTCTGCCAGAGTCAAAATGCGATGCTTGTCAGTATTAATGAATGAAAAATGAAAAACAATGACAAACTGTTGTGTTAAATACAACTAACATTTTTCTGGTCTTTTAATAATTTCCATTGGTCAAATTTGTTTTATTTTATATCAGGCATGCAGCATATTTACATTCATTTCTCTATGTTGTTGTGGCGTACTTGGCATGAATCATCTCAGCGGGGGAACCACTGTGCAGCAGCGATGTCCCCGGCCGAGAGTAAATAAGGAGCGCAACCACAGTTAGCTAAAGAAAGCACCACGTGTGTCTCTTCTCCAAGTGTTATTTATTATTTCATAGACCTACAGATTTAACTTTTTACACATATTTCAAATGTGCCAGCCCTCTGTGAGTCTGTGCCTCTGCCCGGTCACCCAGTCCAAGGTTTTCTAGATCTGCCCCTGATTTTAAGTGTTAATGGCAACTGAATGTGACTGGATACCTTCTACAGGTTAGTGTTATACACTCTAAATGAATAAAACACATGCACACACACACACGCGCAAAAACTTGCATACCTTTTGCTACCCTATAGTTCAGTAAAATGTGTTGGACAAGAACCTCAAAATAAATATATAGTTAAATTAACACATTTCCAATATCAAAATCTCCTTCACTTTTGTATGGATGTGACATATAAACTGGTTAGGTTTTCAAGGATTTTATTGTCAATTCACCATATGTGCAGGACATACAGAAAATCGAAATACCGTTTCTCTCTCACCTAGTATTGGGTGCCATAACATTTAATAACCAAAACAGAATAAAGTGGAATAAAAGTAGAATAGAATAAGAACTGCATTAATGTAATTAGGATAAATCTAAACTGTGACTCAAAACCGTGTACAATCAGTGACAGTAGTGCAAACAATAATAGGAGATTGTCAGGTGATTCAGCATCACCAGGGCGTTGGTGATGAGGTCCAAATAGCATATGAGGTACAGTATACATGGACAGTACTGCAAATGACCAACAGCAGCAGATTTACATATAATATAACAGAAGGTAAACCAGCAGAGGTAGTTTTTTATTTTTGTTTCTGTGGTGGGTTACGGTCCAGGGGCAAAGGTAGTGAACAGTGTTCAGCATCCTCACAGCCTGGTGGATGAAGCTGTTTGTAAGTCTGGTGGAGTTGGCCTTTTTAGCCTTTTTATAAACCAAATAAACCGGTTCTATGTTTACTTCAGCTACCCAAATTATATGGCAGAACTGTCTGTGCTCACCCCTGTTGAAGCATGTAACCTGCTGCTTCTAGCCAACTAATCAGGGCCACTGACCTGAGCGGACAGAACGTGCTTGCCGTAGTGCATCATAACCTCTCCAGACAGCACCTCCTTCAGCTGGGCTACAGACAGAAGCGGCAGGGCACTGCCCAGCAGACGAAAGCTCAGGTAACTGGACACAAAGAGAACAACACCATTGGAACGTGCATTATTAAACAAGTGGAACTGATCCACATACCATGATACAAGGCAGCTGAACACCAAATGAGAAAATATATTGATAGTGTGTAGCATAGCGTGATGTCCAAGCTGGAGACAACTAGAGAATCTTTGCCATGGAGCAGTGAACTGGGTTGCACCACCTATTTGTACCCCACATCAGTTAGTTTAGTGTAAAGTACTTCCTAACTTCTTCCAGCTCATTTTAAACTTATGAATTTACCAAGTTGAACCATTAAGTCTCTTTAAGACCTTTTTAATACTATAATGAATGCAATTTAATGCCTGTTTCACAAACCTACCAGCCAAAGTATAAAAGTATGGATGTAAGGAAGATATGGCATAGAACCATTTAACATTACATCAGAACTAAACAAGCCTATAAAAATAAATCCTAATGATATAAACAATTTAATACCACCTGAAGGTGATAGATCACTTTTCATTCACAGATATATAACTTCTCTTGAAAGCCCATAATCCTATGCAAAAATACACACTAACATTATAACCAGGGGCAGGTAAGAGAAAATATTTAAGACTTATGCAAATTAAACGTAAAACTTTTAAAAATTTGCAATATCCTTTCTGAGGAGAACTTTGCTTTCTCAAAAATTTGAATGCCTTGCAGATAGCCTGTTGAACCTGCATTAACAGATGTTTTAGGCCACAGACATGCCCTTAGTTTTGAATGTCAGAACTATGAAGTCTGCTGTTCCTGTGAGGACTCACTGAGTCGGCCCCGGCGGCTCCTTTAACAAGCCACTGATGATGGCTGCATTCCAGAACAGCTGGAAACTGTCTTCTTTCAGACATAGCTTCAGCAGGTCCAGGGCCACCACTGGGAGGACACACTCCTTCTTCACCGAGCGGGCCGCCATCTTCAACACCTCCGTCAACCTGCCAGACAACATGACATGCTGCTTAGAGTTTCCATACATCAGCTACTAATTATAGAGCTAATTATGAAAGGGAAACTGGTGCACACACTTTCACACTTTGCAGCTAACCAGCACAATATGATTATGCAGTAATTCCCTGATAGCTAAGTGTTTTCACATGCACCATGTGTGGGTGACCTAAGTAGTTTGGTCCAACTGTCTACATTTGTCACAGGCCTCCTCCCTCTCTATCGCTGCCTGCCCCATTTCTGTCCACCTCTATACAATCCTATGTACAATTAAAGCATAAAAAGGTGTAAAAAGCTAATGTGTGTGAGAGACAGAGGGAGGGGAACTTAAAGCCTAGAAGAGAAAAACAAGTCAAGCCAATCACGATGTTCTTACTTGGGGATGTTGTCAGTGGTGATGATAGTTGAGGAGCCCAGCAACTTCTTGAGTTTCTTGGGTTTGAGAGTTTGTGGGAAGCGCTGCAGAGCTACCAGTAGCAGCTGCAGCTGCTCTGGAGTCCTGAAGGCTGATACCAGGTCAGTTTGCAGAGCGCCCAGAAGGACCTCCTCAAACACCTCCTCTGGGACCTGAGGGACAGGATGTACATAAAAAAAGGGATGACTAAAAGTGAAATTCAAGACTTAAGTAAAAAATTAAATTATAACTCATTGTGCATTATGTATGTGCATGTATTGGGGCTACAGTGCACTTTTTCACACCACTGTATGTGCATGTATTGGGGCTACAGCGACACGGCTCCTGTATTATTAAAGGTGTAAGTGAGCAGTCACCTCAGTGAGGATGTCCATCATGGTCTTCATGGGCAGGTCCTTCAGGTGCTGTCTGTGCTGGCTGAGGCTCTGGAGGAGCTGGACACATCCCAACACCACCTGCGGCTCCTGTAGAGACAGAAGGCAGAGCTCAGAGACCAGCAACACTGTACTACACTGTTACAACAAGTTACTAAACAGTCTCCCACTCCACAATACAGTCCGTTTCTGAATCACATACAGGCATAATCTCTGTCCAGCAAACACACAAATCTGAATCTAACCTTTAAAAATTATCAGTGATGAGATGACTTACTTTAGAAAGGCGACTGGACTGATGAAGGGCGAGGACGCCAAACAAGTTTCCAAACATAGCATTTCTGACAAGTTTCTGAAAACAAGGAGAAGACCGTTCACAGATTTCATTCATGAAGATGTAGGCAGCTCGCTGATAGAAAAAATATCACTCACTCACCTTTTTCACAGTCTGCAAGTTGTGCTTTTCTTTGATTCTGTTGAGTACACTCTGCAGAGTGACGTCTTCAAAGGCACTTAAGACCTGAAAAACAAAAAGCGCATGTCATACTAAAGTCAACACATGTTCATTAATGTTTGGCTCACTGGCTCAGATGTCATCAGGTGACCCTCTCTATTAGCTGATGCATACTGCGTGATGTGGTTGAACCACAGACCTTAAAGTTGGGATTATTTAATCACAAATACATTTCTAATATGTAGAAATAAAAGTCAAGCTGAAATGTAATGATTGTTAGATCAGTGAAACTGGTTTGGTGGTGGTCTCCACTCACCTGTCCCAGAGCCAGGCTGAAACCAGGTCTGGCAGTCTCTCGTGTATGAGCCAGTCCATCCACCAGCCTTTTAAAGGTATATTCCAGTTCATCTGCCTGTAAGAGGTAACCATGCCATGATACAGTTTCTGTAGCATCCAGTTAAGCTTCTTTTCTTTTGGTCACACACTAATAGAACATTAAAGTTCCACAGGTAACACAGACCAGACTGTAAGGGGCCCCCAGAGCCCCAGGTTTATTCAACTCTGCTCCTGTCTAGATAACTTGATTCATCACACATTTGATAAAAATGTGCATCACTGAAGTATCAACTCAGGTCCTTCACTGTGTGACCCTGGTCTTGAAGACACTTGTCCAGTCTAATCCAACAGTACTACAACGAATCCTCCATGAAAATGACACTGTTCAGTTTGTGTTCAAACTCTTTCACAGAGGTGTTGACTCAACAGTATAATCATTTGAGTCTGTAGCTTGTTCTGTCGTTGAAACACAGAGCTGAGAGCCCGATGTATATCAGTGAGGCAAGGCTAAACAGCAGCACAAAGGGAAAGGAAGAGGACATAGAGAAGCAGGGAGTGATGAAGAGTTAGCTGAAGATGCTGTACCTCATGGTATGTTTTAAGTCTATTTAGATTCGTTTCAACAAAATCACGTAATGTCCACTTTGTTTTATTCCTGTGATATGTAATAACATAAGCACAGACCCCCAGAAACTACCAGTCCATGTACCTGACTTAGAAACCAGCAGAACCGAGCTGAGTTTACATAACGTTACAGCCTCTTAGTCAAAGTGATCTTTCTCACCTTGTTGTGGGTTTTCAGGTACTGGATGAGGTTTTCCACCGCCTTCAGCCGAACCTCCTGGTCCGGTTTGGCCAAGTCCCAGAAGAAGTCGAGAAAGACGCGGTTCTGCTGCAGGACCCCGGTCGGTCGGCCGGTCTCTGGCGCTTTCACCGAGAGCTCCACCATCTCTCCCCACACACCCCCCACCCAGCCACAACTGTCCATGCTGCTGGGGGAGGAAAACGTGACTCGCTGCACAGCTACTACTTCCGGTTCAACTCTGCTTTTTTTTCCTCCCAAATAAAAAAAAAAAAAAAAAAAAACTTTATCGAACAACGACAAACGGAAATAATCAGCGGACAACTTGGCACTGGACCAGAGTTTAGACAATAATAAAAGTATAGATTTTGACATTAACCGAATAAAGAGTAAAGTTTGTAGTTTTTGTTTGTAGAAATTTGTCTTGATTTTTCCTTCTGTTTTTTTTTTTTTTTAAATATACTTATCAGCTATAGTTTTGTTAGTATGTGCAGAACATTTAGACAATCATTTAGATCCTGGCTGACGTTTGGGGGCAAGAAGATGTGTCAATTCCTCCCTTGCTACAATCTAATCCCATCTCGCAGAGAGTGCACCATTAAAGCATAGTGTTAGCTTTTCCCCAGTATGAATAGTTTTGAAGACAGGTGTCAAAACTTGATAAAATCTAAAAAAAAATCTTTGTGAACCTCCACAATAAAACTGAGGTGAGGCATAGAGTTAAATCTACAACAGAATAAAGTGTGCAAAAAGTGACCATACACCTGTTAAGCTCTTAAATTGAAATTCAAGGTAAATAGCAGATTAATATAAAAAAAAAAAACACTGCCATTTAGTGTCCAACTCTCCATATGCATTAATCTGCACAGTGCAGCTCCAACATCCAAAAAAGTAACAAGTGATACACATTTTTGAATAGAAAGCAACTTTAAATTAAAGCAGCAGAAGGCACAACAACAGCAAAGACTACACATAAAACATTCTTGGACAATGAGTAGCAAAGAAAAAGAGCTGAATGCTAACCATTTTAATCTTTCCATAAAAAGATATTCTTTATTAAAATGGCATGCATATTCCATTATTCCCTGATCAGATTATTTAGTGGCAGATGGAGCTGAGGTTGCAAAAAAAAAAGAGCCGCAGTCAAAGCTGGACATTACAACAATCAGTGTTATTTCTCAGGGCTCCTTCAATCAACAGGAGCAGCCAGCACAGTGTCCAAGGCACTCTGAGCCTCTCCGATCTGCTGCTGCAGTCTCTGCTTCATGGCCTCATTCTGGGCCTTCTTCAGCATGTCTTGCATGTCTCTGATAGCTGCCCGGTAGCCTGGGGCATTGTGAAGCACTCGGATGGCCTTGTCACCACTGGACACCAAGAAGCGCCCATTAATGTCAAATTTAACATCGGTGATCTCCTCACTGTGGACACCATGCAGTTCCTCCTCCAGCTGGCCACTGGCAGTATCGTACATAGCTACATTACAGCCGTCACTGACGGCCACCACTCGGCCGTCGGGAGACAAGGCCACCCGGCTACCTTCAGAGGACGCACAGGGGACAGTCTTCAGGAGGTAGGGATCCTGCTGCTTTTTGTACTCCACATTCGTGTTCCACAGCTTCCATGTACCATCCTTGGAGACAGTTACCATTCTGATAAATACAATGAATAAAATGAAAACAATTTCATGGCAATGTTGTGATGCATACTGAAATCAAGAGACAGAGGAAAGCAGCTCTATCAAATTATTTGGACATATTTGCAACCACCCTATCATCACCTCTGATGGTCAATAACATACAATTAAATTTGCCAAAGCTCCAGAGAGCATTCATTTGGAAGCTCAGGATACAAGTGAAATGATGTTTAACCATTATTTGGCCCCAAAAAGGGGGTGTCAGGCCATGCCATCACAAATCTTCAGAGCCCCACAATAACCAACACCATTTTCCAGACGTAACCTACCCTTAACACAAAGCATCCCTCGACTCTATCCACACCCAATCAAAGAACAGATATGTGGTTTGACACACAGCATCTGCATTGTATTTGCTCAGGTTAAGCAGTGGCTGGTCCAACTGGTTTGTAATTGCAGTCACCTCTGAGAACCGGGTTCGCTCAGTTGTCCAACCCCTGACACTGTTCTACCAAGATGGTCCAACTGAAGAAGACTAGTAACAATTCCAGTGAGTCTGTAACCATATTATCACCAGCACAGTTTATGTGTGGGTGTGTTGAGGAGGAATTTGACTCCGGTATAGTGGCTCTCAATATGTATGTACAATGCTCTTCCATAAGGTAATGACTAAACAAGTACACAAGATAAGACTGAGAGAACAAGAAAAGAAAAAGGTTGTGCAAACATTAAAAAGGAATCGGCATTAGGAAAAGAAAAAATTAAATATCCAGTTTAGATGGAGTTTTTCAGATAACTATATACAAAGATATATTTACAAGGTATTGCACTGAGGCTAGAGCTCAGACCAGAATGAGCCACATGCTTGACTTTGTATTGTAATCACAGAAGTCTGTTACCTGTGAGAGTCATTGGAAAAGGCAAATGCATGAACCCCTGCAGAGTGGCCCTTCAGGTCAAACGCTCGTGCCACCTCTTTGAATTCTCCTCCCTTTCCAAAGCAAACTTCCCACACCTTCACGTCAGGAGTGAAGCCACATGACGCTACAAACCTGAGCAGAGGGACGAATAGCACACACACATTTATCTACACACCAGTCACACAGGATTTAAACATGTTATATGTGAAACAAGGGGGTTTATAAATAACATCTGCACATCACTGAATCAAGGCAAAAAGTTAAACATCTGGAGCTCAGCAAAAAAGATTTTCATGGATGTTATGCTGCTCTTTACTTTTCCTCTTGTAGCAGTGAAATGGAAACGCAGTCATTTCACAAAGAAGCCATTTAGAAGAGACAATGGCTGCATACTAAGGCTGTGTTCAGACTGACATTATGACAGCAGCTCATTTGGCACAGCAGGGGCACCAACACAAAGCATTCTGGTGAAAAGACAAGCACAGGGTGCGGAAAAAAGTTGAACTTGGCTCACAACACTGCTTCATAGCAATATCAACTACTGTACAGTATTTTGATATCTAAGAAGCCTTTAAATAAATTTTCTAGGGCTATAGTTCTCTGTCTTACTAACCATACAAATCATTCAGAAAGCAAACAATCAGGTGAGTTTTCACAAAGAACGCCGCATGTGAGTGGTGCAAATGTATGAGGCCCATTTTAGAAACTCAGCACCGACCCTGATTTGGAGGAGGAAGCTCAAATCAGTAAGTTGGCCAAGTCAAAGTGACTTTGTTTGTCCCTTGTGAGTCTCTGACACAAAACAGACCTGTGGGAGAAACCTGAAACTAGCACAGAATTCAAATATGTATGCCCACTTTTCAAGCCGAATGACCACAAATGACCAACTAGTCACCTCTGAGAACCGGGTTCGCTCAGTTGTCCAACCCCTGACACTGTTCTACCAAGATGGTCCAACTGAAGAAGACTAGTAACAATTCCAGTGAGTCTGTAACCATATTATCACCAGCACAGTTTATGTGTGGGTGTGTTGAGGAGGAATTTGACTCCGGTATAGTGGCTCTCAATATGTATGTACAATGCTCTTCCATAAGGTAATGACTAAACAAGTACACAAGATAAGACTGAGAGAACAAGAAAAGAAAAAGGTTGTGCAAACATTAAAAAGGAATCGGCATTAGGAAAAGAAAAAATTAAATATCCAGTTTAGATGGAGTTTTTCAGATAACTATATACAAAGATATATTTACAAGGTATTGCACTGAGGCTAGAGCTCAGACCAGAATGAGCCACATGCTTGACTTTGTATTGTAATCACAGAAGTCTGTTACCTGTGAGAGTCATTGGAAAAGGCAAATGCATGAACCCCTGCAGAGTGGCCCTTCAGGTCAAACGCTCGTGCCACCTCTTTGAATTCTCCTCCCTTTCCAAAGCAAACTTCCCACACCTTCACGTCAGGAGTGAAGCCACATGACGCTACAAACCTGAGCAGAGGGACGAATAGCACACACACATTTATCTACACACCAGTCACACAGGATTTAAACATGTTATATGTGAAACAAGGGGGTTTATAAATAACATCTGCACATCACTGAATCAAGGCAAAAAGTTAAACATCTGGAGCTCAGCAAAAAAGATTTTCATGGATGTTATGCTGCTCTTTACTTTTCCTCTTGTAGCAGTGAAATGGAAACGCAGTCATTTCACAAAGAAGCCATTTAGAAGAGACAATGGCTGCATACTAAGGCTGTGTTCAGACTGACATTATGACAGCAGCTCATTTGGCACAGCAGGGGCACCAACACAAAGCATTCTGGTGAAAAGACAAGCACAGGGTGCGGAAAAAAGTTGAACTTGGCTCACAACACTGCTTCATAGCAATATCAACTACTGTACAGTATTTTGATATCTAAGAAGCCTTTAAATAAATTTTCTAGGGCTATAGTTCACTGTCTTACTAACCATACAAATCATTCAGAAAGCAAACAATCAGGTGAGTTTTCACAAAGAACGCCGCATGTGAGTGGTGCAAATGTATGAGGCCCATTTTAGAAACTCAGCACCGACCCTGATTTGGAGGAGGAAGCTCAAATCAGTAAGTTGGCCAAGTCAAAGTGACTTTGTTTGTCCCTTGTGAGTCTCTGACACAAAACAGACCTGTGGGAGAAACCTGAAACTAGCACAGAATTCAAATATGAAAGTATGCCCACTTTTCAAGCTGAATGACCACAAATGACCAACCGATGATGCCTTTATTTGATCCAATTACACTTTTAGATGGAGGAAAACCTACAGTGACCTGAGAGGCAGGACTATCACTTGGTCAAGATGTTTTTACTTTGACAGCCTTCATTTGTTGATCTGCTTTAAGTGTCAGTGTCAAAAGCTACAGTGAATCAAGTCTGATTAAATGTTGCAAGACAGTGAATCATATAAATTTATGAGACAGTGCAAGTATGAGAGCTCCCTATGTGATCTTTCAAGTGGAAGGTTCATAACGACGGAGGAGGACTGACCTGCCACATGGGGAGATGGCTGCATAAGAATTGGTTATCTGGTTAGTGTTGATAGAAGCCAGTACCTCTCCTTTCAGGTCCCAAATGTGGATGGTGGTGTCAGTGGAGGCACTCATGATGAACTTGCCTGCAGAGGAGAGATGCACTCAGCTCAACATGTAAAACTACAGTCATGTTGGGATTTGGATAAACAGGATCTAAGTCAGAGGCAGCTTGTTGCTGATCAGTCAAATGGAAACATCAAGGCTGCAACAACTAACACCCGATTTCATGTACAGAAGGTACCTTTTTTTTTTTTTTTTTAAACACAAATTCATGTGCATGATGATTCAAAGCAGGGTGGGAGGATGAGAAATGTAGCAATGCAGCCTCATGTGCAAAATGACTGACTGAAAGTCTAACAAAATGCACATTTACACACCTAAAAATGTGATTTGTAAAATTCAGACACACTTGTGCTGTGAGATAAAGCTGCATTCTCACTACAGCGATACCAGTATGAGGGTTGCACATGTTGTGTAATGTTTTGTGGTGTTAAAAGCAATGTTTCGTTTTCAGATAGCTGATTAGTCCAAGAAGAACCAGTGCTGGAAGACAAGTTCGAGCATCCTGTCTCAAAGTGATGCTGAAAAACTGGTCCATGCATTTGTTACTTCCAGGCTGGACTACTGTAACTCTTTACTATCAGGATGTCCCAATAATCCCCTAAAAAGCCTCCAGTTAATCCAAAATGCTGCAGCCAGAGTACTGACAGGAACTAGCAAGAGAGAGCATATCTCTCCCATATTAGCTTCTCTCCACTGGCTCCCTGTAAAATTCAGAATAGAATTCAAAATCCTTCTCCTAACATACAAAGCCCTTAATGACAAGGCTCCATCATATCTTAAAGACCTCGTAGAGCCTTATCATCCTAACAGAGCACTTCACTCTCAGAGTGCAGGTTTACTTGTGGTTCCTAGAGTCCACAGAAGCAGAATGGGAGGCAGAGCCTTTAGCTATCAAGCTCCTCTCCTATGGAACCAACTCCCAGTCTCAGTTCAGGAGGCGCTCTCCTCTCTCTCCCTATGCTTCTATATGCCCCCATTACACATTACTAACTTTGTTTCTCCTCTCTCCCGTAGTGTGTCCTCTCTCTCTCTCCCTGTAACTTTCTGCAGGTTGCCCTGGAGCTCTATATCTCTGACGAGCAGTCACCGGCCACATCGACCTGATCAGTGTTTGATTGTTGTGTCTTGTTGCTTTTCTTCTTTTGTCTCTCCTCTATCCACTCACCCCAACCGGTCGAGGCAGAAGGCCGCCCACCAAGAGCCGGGGTCTGTCGGAGGTTTCTTCCGTTAAAGGGAGTTTTTCCTCCCCACTGTCGCCAAGTGCTTGCTCAAGGGGGATTTGTTGGGTTTTCCCTATGTAATAATATTGATAACAGTAAGGTCTAGACCTTACTTTGTAAAGTGTCCTGAGATGACTTTTGTTGTGATTTGGCGCTATACAAATACAATTTGATTTGATTTGATTTGATGTGAAAGTGAAAGAGAGAATGAATGGTGGGGGAACTTCACCTAGTGTCCTAAAGGATACATTGTTTTAAAATGGTCTCTTTATTAAAATAAGTGATCAATACATTTTAGCAATGGGCAAAATTGTATTTTGAATTTTACTTTGTCCTGGTAACATCCAAATTGAAGGGGAAAAAATACAGAAATGCCCTTTGTATACTTGTGTATTACTGACTTAAACATACAGCCATAATATATTTCATGCGTTTTATACCTGTCTCTGCAATGCCAATGTTGAGGATAGGAGCCTTGTGTTTCTGTGGGAAGTCCTCAGCTGCAGCTTTGAAACCGAAGGTTCCGTCATCTTTTTTGATCATTTTGAAGATTCGAATGGTGTCTCCGTTGGCCAACCAGGTGATAAATGCCCTGCAGTGAAAAGGTGAGAGCCAGTGGAGGGGGTGGTGGGGTTACCATATGCCTGTAAAAATGACCTAAAGATGAACCAGTGCTATTTCTCTTCAAGAATTCTGCTCTGGTTACATATTTTACTGGAGTATGATGTGAAAACTAAAACCGTACCAACAGACAGCATCCTGATTTAGAGAGTAGTGTAGCGTTTGTAAGAACAGACTCTTTATAAAAAGATGTGGGGAACAACAAGACACCAAATCAAAACACAACAATACTGGCTGGCACAAAACTAGCTCATCTTTTAATCAAGTGGATTGTTTTGCAGAACAACATTAAATGTAAATTACTTTAAATGAAGTGGATCTGATTTTCTTCAGTAAAGAACCTCTAATCTTTATTTACAGATTACTGCTGGAACAATGAGCTGCTGAACTGACCAAGAGAAAATTACCACAACTATTGTGATTGATCTTAAAGTGATTTACCAAGCAAAGCAATCACAAACTCTCTGGTTTCAGTTTCTCAAATGTAATTTTCCCTCTTTTAATAATATCATTGTAAATTAAATATCTCTACTTGAATGTAATGAACAACTTCCATAACTACTGCCTTTGACGCTATGCTTTCTCGATATATCAGTGAGCAACAATAGTGAGATAGAAGGAGGGACCTGGAGTCTGGGCTGAAGCGGACCAGTGTAGCATGATCCAGCTCCACATTGGCTCTCAGACACTTGTGTTCCCGCTCCAGAAAGTCTTTGGTGCTCCAGATGCGGACAGTGCGGTCATCAGCACAGGACGCCAAGTACTTCCCATTACTGCTGAAATCAAGGCATGTCACATTCCCACTGTGGGCCTGAAAACATGGACAAAAATACACAAAGAATGGTGAAAATGTAAATCTTTAAGAAACCGAACCAGAAATACACTCAGTTAGCTGTTTATTGGGTCCATCTAGCTAAAACAAATGCATTCAATACAGCAACTCTGTGAATAATCCTGTTTTGATGAAGATTATACTGTTTATGAGGTTTTAGAGGTGTTCATTCAACGTAAAGGTCATTTTGAGGCTGCAGTTTCTAATATTTTGTCAATACCATTTATATCAATAAGAGACTAGATAGACATACAATAGGACCTTTGAGATGTTGACACATACGTATGTCCCTGATGTACTAAGAGGCCCTTACAGTGTGTGTGTGTGTGTGTGTGTGTCAGTGTGTGGTCCAGTTTACCTTCAGTGAGGATGCCAACAGCGGATGGCTGAAACTGTGCTGTGAACTTTTATCCTTACGGCTACGCTGCTTCTCCGGCTTCTGTTTCTTGGATGCAGGGCCCTTCACACCACTGCCTTCAGCTGCCAGACAAACAGGAGCACTGAAGAACACTTCTATTCATACTACATCAGGTAGTGAAACTAAGTACCAGCATCTGTCACTGTTTTAAACGTCTCTGACACACAGCAGGTGTTGGATGAATAGGAACAGACAATAAGGCAAAATTTTGTGTTAATCCTATGCACAGTATGTGTGTCTTTCTACATTACCTTACTTATTTTATATATTTCTTAATGCCTTTACTGTTGTATGCAAACATTTGGAAACCCATGTTGATTTCTGAAGTAAAAATAAGTAATAAAATCCCTGCAGTGACAAGACATAAAAATGGAAACTTTCTTCAAATGTTAATAACTGTTCCCTTTTATTTCAATTTATAAATCAGATTAAAATTTAAACAGTAATTGTGGCACATGCACTACTACTAAGTCAGTACTTTGGGTCAGATATCACAGCTCGCAGATGTTTCTAGCCATATAAATAATATATAACTCCTGCCTTCATGAAGGTGATGAGGTTCAGTGCTTTTTTGTTTTTAGGAGGTGCTGACTCAACTGTTTGGTATCAGCTACTGTATGTAAAAAAAAAAACATGAACTGAGCGCACGTTTGCCTGGTTTGTGCCTTATTTATTGCTCCCTTTATGCTCTTTAATTTGCTTTAGGCTGTATCTTGTTTTAGAATAACCCACAAGGATGGAAAAAGAATGAAATATAAAGTGGCTGTCCATGATAAATGCTACATAATCAATAAGCAATCACTACAGAAGAAGGGGTCAAGGAACTGGTCCGTCAACTAATTAATGGCTGCTTAAGTTTTTTGCTACTCGCTTCACGAATTCGTGTGCTTGCATAAAAATATCACAGGCACACTATTCCTCTGGTGACTGTCGTTATCAATTAACACAGCAAAAGCAACCTATCCTGTCAATTACCACAAAGTCAGTGACATAGTTGGTGGTTCACCGCCCTCCATAACCACAAAGTCAGTGACATAGTTGGTGGCTCACCGCCCTCCAGTCACCGCTAGCTGAGTTCATATGTGACATATGATAGGTCTTGAGTTAACGTTAGCTTAAGCTAATTTAGCTCTTACCGGCAAACTCCTCTGCCAGGTCCGTCTCCTCTCTTAACTCCCCTTTTCGTCTGCCCACTGCTAATGCGACTAGAACAATCAGTGCACCCAGCAACACAGTCAAGACAAGCAGAGCAGCAACCTCCATATCGACAGCTTTCTGCCACGTATTTTATACCGCTAACGTTTACTGGTTGGCTACCACTACAAAAGCGCAGCGCATGCGTCCTCATCTTCTTTCTCTCTTTGGTGGCAAACTGAAATAACAGTTACTATTGTACTACCGCCCTCTAACGGACTGGCGTGGAGCTCTAGATCACAATTTTGGGGTTTTTTGTTCTTCTGGGATCTTCTGAGAAATTCTTCGGAAGGCGCAAGCCCACTGTAGATCCCCTCACCACACAGCCACCCAACATCACTCACACATCTGACCACTTTCACTGATGATATCTAGTGTTTACCAGTGTGAAAACAGTATAAACATTGTGTAACACAACGTGGAAATGTGAATATGAACACATAAGAGATTTATGTTCATGAATCTAGTTCTCATGTCTCTGGGAGGTTTCAAATACACATACCACTAATTAATACTGTAATACACTTGCAACCACTTAAAATAGAGAAAAGTTGACTCAGCTGTGTCGTCTGGACCACACTGAGCATGGAGGGGAAAAAAATGCAAGGGATTGTCTGAGGAATGAGAACCACAATAGTGGAAAAACCTGGACAGTCTCAAGGCTAAACGTTCATCTCCAGAGTCCCTGTGTCCACTGGGCGCAACATTGTCAAGGAGTTTATAGCCAATGGTGTGAGGGAGACGAAGGGGGTTAAAGGATTAGGGTAAGTCTTATTCTCATGCCTGTAGTTTTCAGATTTGTTAAGGTCATTTCATTAATATTTGCTACATTTTACTTATTTCATTTCTACACATTATATCTTATTGCATTTGATTTTAATGTTTGTCATCTTATTTCAAGTTATTCACCAGTACTTGTTATACCCAAGCTGCTAACACAAACATAAAAAACCTACCTGAGGAAGCCACAGTCCTTCTGGGACAATGTCCTGTGGACAGATGAGACTAAAATAGAGCTTTCTGGTCGAGTACATAATTCTGTTTTCAAAAAAACAAACTGAGGCCTTAAAAGAACAGAACCCGGTCCTTTGGGGTTGCTTTGCTGCTTCAGACACCAATCTCAATTCCATAGAGCTCTGGTGGAGAGATCTCAGCACAGCAGTTGGAAAGAGAAACCCTTCAAATCTGAGTAGCCTGCTCTCATAAGAGGAGAGTAACAGAATGGGTTTTTGGAAGGTTAAATGCTTTTCTTGTCGGAACATCCAAAACTCAGTTTTTATTATCAAAATCAACCATCAAAAACTGCTCACTTTTCACAAGATTACTACTAGAACAGAGATCATTCTGATAAAAAGACTAACTGCTGACATCAGTGGATCTGCCGTCACGTTTGCTTGTTTAAATAAAACTCATGGTGCATGTGAGACACAACACAGGATCCAAAACTCCCTGCACCGTAATGAGAATTTCTGAAATTATGAAATGGATAAAAGGCTTTGCAGTTCAACAGTGTATTTTAGTCAGTCTAACTGCAGGTAAATCTCTTGTAATCTATTATAGCAGTGGCATTTCAGAAAAGGGAATAATGTGTTGCTGTGCACACTATTTAAACAGGAATGTCTGTATTAACAGAAGTTTACGTCCAGCTCTAGCTGATCCTGTCAAGATTTGTTATTTTTCAGTGAATGAACAAAGATTCAATGCCTGGGAGTAAAGAGCGGTAGTCTGGCACAAACACACATCTCAGGATTTAAATAGGAGATAAAAGATTACAGATTCGTTTCACAGGCATGAAGTTGAATAATTGGCTTTGGTTTGTCAGCACAATTCAAGAGCAGTCATCTTAATCACATACTGACCTGATCATTACATCAGTGTTGGAAATCAGTATTTAAAAAAAAAAAAAAAAAAAAAAAGAATATTCTGCCCATAGGGGACAACGGAGGAATGCTTGCAATGACAAACAGTATGAAATAAGAACACAAGCATCTGCACCATCTACATTAAGACATTTACTAAATTGTCCTTAAGTGCAGAAACACCATTCATTTACAGGATCAGATAGCCAATTAAAAAAATAATTTAAAATGCAAACGTCAGTGTTGTGTACCTTTTCTGAATCAACTGTGCATTTCACCCTACTCAGACTCACTCAGAGAATGTACTCAAATATTTGGTAACATACAAACCAATGAGCGTTCATGTAAAAAAATAAATGTTTGAGTCGAGGCTCCATGTCTTTGCCTGACTCAACTCTCTACTTAAGACGAACCAACGGGAGTGTCCACATACTGTAAAAGGAAAAACAACTTTGGATATGCTTTTGTTCAGAATCAAAACTTCTCCGCTGTCTTTTCTCACTCCTCAAGTATAATACAATGTTCTGGATTCTGTCTCCTCAGTGCTACGTTCCCTCACTAGGTCACATAGTCATCCAGGCAGCATGAACTCAGCAAGCTGGTGTGCTCTTTCTAACTCCTCTGCAAACACCGCATTTTGGGTCGACACAACCCACTAGAGAAGGGCAAAGGAAGCAGAGGGCATGGTGGCGGGCTGGATGGGGGATGTCGGGCTTGGAACAGAACAATGCTAGCCAGATTAGCCATATCAGCAGCAGGTGAAGTCCTGGGAAAGCAGTGTTGGACACATGTAGCAAGTTACTTCTTTCTGTTGTGTTGCCTCCGTGCCTGCAGCCTCTGCCGTGATCCAGATGGCTTTGATCCGGCTCCAATAGAGAAGGAGGGAGCCGCTGGAGACCCTGATAATAAACCACACAAGGCATGTTAAGAAGTGTAATTTCTAAGAAACAGCAATAAGTGACTTCTCTTTTACTCTTCCTCTTTCTGATTCTTAACATTGTCATATAAATATATGATTCTGGTTTGTTACTAGGTCAGTTCCTCTAATTTCCAAGTCATACAACTGTATTTTATTTAGTTAAGGGTCAGACAATTAACTGCCTGGCTCCTGAAACTGCAGTGATCACACTGGACAGCAAAACAGTAAATGATGCTCTCCGTTTTGGGACCCATTTAGCAAACACCTCTAGGTGTTCAGCTACTCTGCCCTGCCCTCTTTTATACAGATCACTCCATACTTCCATTGCAGGTAGGTCACTTTAAATGATAATTCTTCAGTAAACATGGTTCACACAAAACAGATATATTCTGAGTTATCTGGTCAGTGGATCAGCTTTAAATATAGAGAAACACCAGCAGAGGAAAACAAATCTAACTGTTAGTACTATTTATCATCACCTAAGCAGCAATAAGGACTTACCAAAAGGACTAGCACTGAAGCCTTGGACTGGAGTTGCAGGGCTTCTAAAGGGAATTGGACCTGCAGCAGTACTCTGAACAAAGGATGGTGTAGACGTCCCTGCAGAAAAAGCAGCACAAAACTTGAATAAATCCAACAAACAATGGGGCTAAACCACTGAAGTCTACTGAGAGATGAAACAAATGTAAGCCAGTTCTTGAAGCAACATTAAAATATCAGTAAAACCAAGATATTTATGAAAGAAAGAAATCTAAACTACAAAGAAACTAGAAGAACTCTAAAACAAACTCACCAAAAACTGGTTTGTCTGCAGCAGCAGCCCCAAAGTTAAAGCCTCCCATCTGTGGCACAGGATTATTGGAGACTGGTGTTCCAAACTGAGGGCACGACATACCAGCACCAAAGCTAAAGCCACTGGATGCCTGCTGAGCAGGGACAGAGGGAGCTGGCTGAGCAGCAGCAGAACTTCCAAATGTAAAGATGGCTGAGGAGGAGCTCTGAGCCTGGGATACTGCACCGAAGCTCGGTGCTGCTGAGGGAGTGGTGGTGCCACCGAAACCAAAACCCGTAGAACCGGCTCCAAATGCTGGTTTAGCTGGGGTCCCAAAGGTGGTAGCTGTGGTGGCAGCTGCTGCCCCAAAAGCGAAAGGAGGTGGGGCAGGGTGGGAGGCAGGTGTGGATGAAGCTCCGCCACTTCCAAAGGTAAATGGTTTTGGTGGTGCTGCTGAGGAGCCAAAGGTCGACTGCGCTCCTGCTGCTTCAAATGACGGCTTCCCAAAAGGGAAAGTGGACTGAGTGGTGGCAGCGGCAGCAGCAGCAGTGGTGGTGGAGGTGGTGGTAGACATGGCAAAGCCTCCAAACGAAGCAGTTTTTGTTTTCTGGCCAAAGGCGAACATCTTCTGGTTAGCATCTTGAGTGTCTGGGTGACCAACACCAAATGTGAAGGTGCTGTTGCTGGAGGCTGTGGTAGAAGCAGCCGGGGCAGCTGCAGCAGTGGTGGTAACGGTTCCAAATTGGAAGGTGCTTCCTGTATTAGGGGCTGAGGCTGAGCTGGTACTTGTTGTGGATGGGGTGGACCAGTTTCCAAAAAGGGACTTCACAGCTGGCTGTGCTGCTGGCTGTGTGGTGGTTATGGAGCTGGAGGAGGCTATTCCGGTGGTGGTGTTGCTTAAGCCTGGAAAAACAGATGGGGCAGATGTTGTGCTGCTTATTGGTCCACCAAATATCAATGTACTACTCGAAGAAACCATAGGGGTTGTGTTGATGGTTGTGAGTGATGGAGGCTGTCCAAAACCAGCACCTGCAGTGGCACCTCCAAAGATGGGCTTGAAATCTTGGACTGGTGGTTTGCTCTCTGGAGTAGATGTAGCTGAAGAGGCGGTGGTGATGGCAAAGATGGGTTTAAACCCTGAAGCCAGTACAGGGTTTGTGTTGCTGACTGACTTGGAGGTGCTGGCTGGGGCACCAGGAGCAGTGACTGGGTTAGAGGCTGTAGAAGCAGAAGGGGTACTGTTCTGGCTGGCCAGTCCAAACAGACCTGCTACAGGTGGGGTGCCACTGGTTGCCTTGGGAAACTGACCCAGGACCTGAGTAAAAGCAGAGGGCTGCTCCAGGCCAGCAGTGGATGACTGAGACTGGGAGGCAGGGGTGAATTGTGGGGCATCCACTGCCGTTGAAGCCTTCAGTGTTAAGCCAGTGGGTTGTACTTGTGTGGTGGATGCAGATACTAAAGACAAAACAAGCCAGTGATGGAGGGAAAAACATGTCATAATGTACTGTGTAAATGACCAAGATATGTCATGAGATCCATGAGATGCTCTGGAGATGATATATGAACGTGTCTGTACCTGCAGTTGTGCTGGCAGCAGATGCGGAGCTAGCAGGAGAGCTAGTCTTCATTTTCAAAGCCTCCAACAGTGGGTTAGAGGCAGCAGGTGCTGTGCTGACACTGCTGCCTGGGCTGGGATCCAGGTTGATGACTGAGAAGGCAGCAACAGAGGCTGTGGGCAGAGGAGCTGCCAAAAGGCTGCTCAGGGTGGGGGTGGTGCTAGAGCTGGTAGAGGAGATGAGCTGGGTAAAAGCTGTGGTTGGGGGAGAAGCAGGCTGCTCTGGCTCCGGAGCTATACAAGGACAAATTAACAGGAGAGGGGTCAGAGGTCAATTTGAGGGTTTATCCAGCTAACAGCCATACTACACTGTTCAGACCTAAGAGGGTTTTTCTATTACAGGAACCTACCGAAACATGTCACACTAAATGACACTTGTCATGGGCTCTGTGTGTTCTCACTACAGCGCGCCCGCTCTGGCGGTGCATTCTGGGAGGTAAATTTCAGCACCCCTCAGGAGGCAGTATTAAAATCAAGTACTTAATCTCACTGCAGCATTTCAGTCTGTATATGTACATGGAGAGTAACAGCACAGCAGGAACCAAACAGTGCAGATATTAACAAAGAAGACAAGTTAAATAGTTTATTCCTGTTATTGCTCACCAGGCACTTCCAGGACTTTCTGGATCTTGCTGATGGCAGCCTTTTTCTCTTCGTCTAGGTCTTTCACAGTGATGGTGTAGCCCAGCTCGGGGGGCGGGGGCTGCAAATCAACAAGAGTGGGGAATCAAAGAAGGCAATCTAGGTCACTGTAACACACTACTTTATAGCCAAGGATTTCTGGGAGCATGAAGTCTGAGAAAGTAGCACTATTTACTAGAGAGATGCAATCGTCTCGGTGGCTGGAAACCAGCTGGATCTTCCGTTTTCTCTTCCCGCCACTATCAGTTGAGTCTACCGAAGTAGTGACAGGGACCTTGGTGACTGAAGTCAGTTTGGCTGCAACATCATCATATAACAGACAATAAAGCTAAATCCATCACCTTTAACTTTAACCCAATTAAATAACAAATCACAATATCTATGTCTGTACAATGACTTCTAGATGAGAAACTTACAAGTAACTGGTGCCTTGTCGGAGGCTGCCTGGTTTGACCTCAGTGAGGACACTGAGCTGGGAGACTGCCCGTCATCCTCTCTAGTAATGAAACCGCAATTTACAAACTCTAATATTAGATTCGATATGGACAACTGCACTAAGCGGGAAACCTGCAGACACATACCTGGGTCTCTTGGAGGCTCCCTCTGGAGTCTGAGACCGTGATGACTCCGGGCTGGACAGAGAGGAGCTGGGCGCTGATGGCTTCTTCCACTGTGAAAGTAAATGTGGAGACAAAGCTTAACAAGGTAATTTTATCTCTGCAGGGTCATGTACACTGCCATGCAGCAGGTAAAGGTTACCTGGGTGAAGCCTAGGGAAGAGCTGTAGGAGCTATGGATAGGGTTTCTTCTTGTGCATGGGGTTCCTCTGGGAGCATGGACCACACTAACAGAGCTGATGGAGGAGGTGCGAGACCTCTTCATGGTGGACTCCTCCACCAGTGAGGTCATCCCTCTTTTCAGGCTTCCCGGTCTGGAAGAAAGAAAGGAAAGCATTTCCACCTATATTTCGACAGCCACACTACACTGTACTTCATACAGTTAGTACAACACAAAGAGCTGAACTCACTTAGGGACCAGCTGTGACGGTGTTCCATTGGGCAAAACAGATTCAAAAGCAGAGTGGGCGCTTCCACCGCTATCATTGCGCCTTTGGAAATGAAAATGTATTAATTTATTACAAACATATATAACACTTCAATTCAATAAATGTATGAACTAAGCCCTGAGTAACATCTGTTCTTTATATTAAAACTATTCAATTTATGTCAAATAAAAAGGAAAAAAAATCTATTACCAAACATAACAAGCTAAACCCTTTGAGTATTTATACAAAAACCAAAACACACAGTTACTTGACATGAAAAGTTGAGAGGTCAGACACAGTGACTGAAGCACACACAGTCTTCAAGCTGGTACCTCCTTTTGCTTCTCTGCTCTGTTGTGAAGCTCCTGTCTTCATCCTCCACTTCTCTCTTGCGGCTTTCCTTCAACACCCTGAGGACGCTTTCTCTGGAGCAGGGGTCTGGGGGGGCCCTGGGGAGTCCTGCACAACTCAGCTGCTGCAAACTAAGTAAAACAGGATACAGTTAAGTGTTAACAATCAAACAGCACAAATCAGGGTTTTCTGCAGTCCAGTGAGACACGGCCACTATCTGTGGCACCGACACTCACCAGAGTTGTAAATAACAATTTAATCTGCTATTGTTATTTTAGTTTATTGATGAATCAATTAACCATAAGTTAATCTATAAATTGTTAGAAGACAGTGGAACAATTTCCCTGAACCCAAATAGCTGGTTCTAACAGCCCACAACCCCAAGATATTCAGTTTACAATGATTAAAAAAAAAGCAGAGAGAGGTAACAAATCCTCACATCTGAGAATAAGTGATGATGTGGATGTATTGAAGCAACATCTCAAGACATCAGCCAGCAAATTAAAGCTTGGTCACAAATGGATCTTCCAAATTAGCCCCAAGCATACTTCCTAGTTTGTGGCAAAATGGCTTAAGGACAACAAAATCAAGGTACTGGAGTGGCCATCACAAAGTCCTGACCTAAATCCAATATAACATTTGTGGGCACAACTAAAAAAGCATGTGCAAGCAAGGAGGCCTACAGACCTGACTCAGTTCCAGCCGTTCTGTCAGGAGGAAGGAGCTAAAATTCCAGCAACTTATTGTAAGAAGCTTGTGGAAGGCATCCCAAAACGTTTGACCCAAGTTAAACTGTTTTAAGGCAATGCTACCAAATACTAACCGAGTGTATGTAAATGTCTGACTCACTGGGAATGTAATGAATGAAATCAAATCTGACATAAATGTTTTTCTCTGCTATTATTCTGACATTTCAAATTCTTAAAATAAAGTATTGATCTTAACTGCCCTAAAACAGGGAATTCTTATAGGATTAAATGTCAGGAGTTGTGTAAAACTGAGTTCAACTGTATATATGTAATTATCTAAATATTTACAGTTACATATGCAGGCTGATCTTTAAATGTCTCTGTTACAACACCTCAGATCAATAATACACCTTTGACTCTGATTATCTAACTTTGAAAATAACAAGGATGTAATTAATGTACACTGTATGTGGTTTATTCCTAGATAATGCACTAAATAATAAAAACGCTGGTATGATGGCAGACCGAACCTGGGGGAGCTGTGGTCGGGTCTGGCGATCTTTACAGTGACCGGACTGAGGGCAGCAGGGGAATTGCGGGGACTGAGAATGTTTTTCTTCCTGAAGCCATCCCACTTGACTGGAGGAAGAACTCCTACTGATGAGACGCCCGGCTGCTGCAGGGGGTAGTGACGCTTGGGGGTGATGGTGAAACCGGCCACCGTGCTCAGAGGCTCCCTGCCAGGGACAAAATCAGGATAATGCATAATGTAAACATTTTTAAACAACACCCATCTACATCATACACAGACTCATTGAAAATATCTGTGATCACACAAATATCTACATTTCCCTGAGCAGAATCCAGTATTTCAACTCACATTGCTTTGCTATTACAGTGAAAAAACCACAACCAAAGCCAAAACGTTGGCGCTCATATGAGAAAAGGGAGGATATTTACAAACAAATCATTTGACACATCGTGCTTGTATTGTAACTTTTAAATGACTTTGCTATTATGGTAAACCCGTTGAACCTGCAGACATACACACAGCTTCATCAATAGGCAGCTAACTTTACTAAATTTCTTTCTTGAGTGTGCTGATCAAATACTTGCTAAAGTTTAGTTTAATGATTAAGCATTTGACCCTAATCTCCCGAATGCCACAGACCCTGACGTTACCGCCTCCTGGACTATCTTATGTTGATATAGTGCCATTTGATCATGAACATACCCAGTAAATGACAGCCTCCTGTTGGGAGTATAGACCGCGTGATTGGGTCTGGACAGTTTCTCTCGTAGTTGTTCTCGGGGATTTCTCCCTGCTCCCAGCCTCTCAGAGTCAGTGACTGGACTGTCGGGTTTCCCGATGTAGCTCCCCATGAGGAAATCCCGAGGGCTGAAAAGAAACGAGTCCGTTGCCAAGGCTTCCCTCCGATAAATCCCAGTTTCACTTAGTCTTTGTCTTAATTGCCACCCCGAATCCCGGAGCTCGGCTCTGTTATTGCTAACGTTACTCTTCGGTCTCCTCTGTGCAGCCACCGACACGCCGGTCAGCCCCAAACTCAACAACCAGCGCCGGACGTTCAGTCCAGCACGTAGATTCGGGCCTAACCGGGGGGGAAGCGGTTCTCCGCTGTGATAATAACACAAAATACAAAAAACTGCGATAAGTAAAGCCACGTAAATAAAAGCAGGAATACAATAAAGAGCTAGACTAACTATGCCTAAAACGGAGATGAGAGCTAAATGTTTCTCCTTAGGTGACATGGCGGCAATCCGCCGCCGGAGCACTCTCATATCCCGTCATGCTACTCTTCTTCTTGTTCTTCTTCTCTATTTTTTTTATGGTACGTTGGCATCTGAGAGCTGCTGCATTATCGCCCCTTCTGTACAATTGACGAACTACTTTACAGATGCTTATGCACCTACTATGGTGGAGTATGGAACAAACGGGACCTTATCCTCTATATCCTATCAATTAACCATATCCTTTAAAAAAATTCTAGCACAGCTGTGTTTCCTGTTACGCCTGTTAGTAATTCCCTGATGCCCATACTATTTTTCCCTATACACTTTGCATTTATTATCAGTCTCTCTTCTGTATATAAATAAATATGTGAACTTTATTTACCATTTGCTTCTCATTTCTTCATTCACACACCACTGGCAGTGAGCTACTGTGCAATGTGCAGGACACAAAATGCAAAGCACACTGATGTCTCGGAGCGATGAAGACCATGCGCCAGAGATGATGCTTATATTTCTTCCTAACAACATAAATATCATGTCCTGGTAAGGCTGCATCCCTCCCCACCAAGATCTTCACCATTATGTAATTAAAAACTAAGTTTAGAAAAGGCATTGAACTCTTGAGTGTTTTGGTTTATTTGGCAAAGTAATAAATACAGTACATTATAGAAGAGTTCAGTACAAGAAAACTTTTCACAACAGACGCAAGATCCAGGGTGTGTCTGTCAGAACTGAATGTTCATTAAGAGGCATTGTGGTTTCAACAAACATCACTCAACTCTCTTTTCTGAAATGACATCAGTACAGAAAAGCTGAGGCATCTGAAACAAGCTACAGATGAAGGTTGACTAACGGTGTGTGGCAAATTAACCCGGGATATGACATCACGTCAACAGATAGCAAATCCCGGGATATGACATCACGTCAACAGATGGCAAGTCACTGGTTACGCAACTTCATCTGGCCTGTTGTGTAAACCTCTGACACTATACAACTTAGGGTTGCATGATGCTGATGTAGAGACGCCTTCAGTGTAATCTCTGTAGGATTGACTGCAGTCTGAATGCTGAGAAGATATCACACAACCAGCTTATACCCTGAGAGGGCGACCATTTCTCTGTGACATCTGTTCGAAGTACACACATGTAAATATACTGTACATATTTAATGGAGACAACAGGAAATGGAAATCAATAAAAGCATGAACCATATTCTCCTCAGAGGGGAAATTGCCATAGCATCTTCTTGGATGTCATGTGTTCCAAGTATCTATTTGATTTTGGTCAGAGCTGCTGCCCTCCTCTCTGTGTTCTGAAACAGGGCTCGGATCAGATTCTTCACCTCGGAACTGGAGAACTCGAGTGCCAGTGGGCCTTTACTGTCAGCCCACCTGTGGAGAGAAGTCACGGGCACATCAACCAATCACACACACAAAACAGTGTGACAGCAAGCAGAGGCCTTTGTTTCAATGATAAAGGAGCACACCACTAACTTTACAGATAAGGGTAAGTTTACTTGTCGTACATGTTAAAACAGTTGCGCAACATCTTTTGTGGCTCTGGACCAGTGATTAATTTTCTTAACACAAAGTCTAATAAAAAAAACATTTGTTGATAATCTATTTTCACAATGAAAAGGAGACTAAAAAGCAACTGGAATGATGATGAAATGTATTATATCTTTGGTTAACAAGTTAAAAACTAAGCAACAATGTAAAAGATGAATGAGTGGGCAGGAAGTCAGTGCCATCTTAATGCAAAGTTAACAACTGACACGGCTCTGTGGAATTAAAAACTGTAATTCCTGATTAGTAAACTGTTAAGAATGATCTATTAATACTTTATCATCAAGTTTCTGCCTTACCTGTCGACAATCTCCTGCAGGTTGGCCCGCAGCACGATGACCAGCTCCTTGAAGGTACTCCACTTCCTCACATAGAGAGGCACTTCCTCCTGATACTTCTTGTTCTTGTTTTCCTCCGCCAGAGGGATGAAGACCAGCGGACCTTCCTCGATGATGGTTTGGCACAGAGTGTGGAGGTGCTCCCCATCCTCAGAGGAAATATCCTGCAGACAGTTAAGTAGGCAATAAAATCCTATTTGATCATCAAAAATTTAATAATGTACACCGAGTGATCACCTTCATTCTTATTAAGACTGTTTTTTTTTACTCTTTTCTTTTTTATTTAAGAGATTCATTACTGTTCATGTGTTTGTGTTGTGGGAATGTACATTACACTTAATTTGTCATTTCAGCCAATGTAGTACATGTAATTTCACCCTCAGAGGTGTTCAATGGGCGGCTCAGAAGATATTTTAGTTACAAATTCCCAATTCCTCACTGTGAATGGATATATTGTACATTTCCAACATTTCTAAAATCACTTTTACGGATACCCTGTTTTTTAATTTTTGTTATGTCCAGTGACACCTCTACACTGGTATAGGACACGTGCTACATTTATGTAGAGGCACTGGGATGGAAAAAAAGAGACAAACCTCTAGCATCATGATTTTGGCAATGACCTCTGTGATGGCTGTGTTGAGGAGGTTGCCCATGGCTTTACAATAGATGCTGACCGGTAGAACATCCTGCCACACTGTACCCAACTGTTTCAACTGATGAATCACCTGTAGTCGAGCAAACAGGTGAATGGTGTATGTGAAAACAACACAAATGAAGGAATGAATAATAATAATAATAATGATAATAAACACTGGTAAGACTTGATGATAAGCTTCCTCACTAGGTCCTAACAAATATTTTCTCAAGTCTGAAATGCCCCTAAAACAACAAAATTTGCAACTTAATTACTAGTTAAAGAGTTACAGCCACATTTTTCTGACATGCCCACATAATATTTTCAAATCCTTTCCTCTCACCTGTCTGACTGCTTTGCTAGCTGCTATGTAATTATCTTCATCATCCAGGTTACAGAAGTTGTGAGCGGTAGAAAGTCTCTCCAGCAGCTCGGCTCTCTGGACATTCAGCTGTGCTAAGAAGCACTGGGCACCTAAAGGAAAATGTGTGGACCATCAATCTACGCAGGACATTTTAATGAAATCCAACAAGTAGCTTTAGAGATACCTTGTCATAGACAGAAGGGGTTTTCAAGGGGGTCAATAAAATCATTAGGTTTCAGCTCCCAACAAACATCAATTTCAGCAGCAAGCACAGTTGTAGGAGTGTTTACCCAGTTTTCTGAATCCAGGCACCATGTCGACAAATGTTGCAACGCCCTCACTGAGGGGCTGTGGCAAGTGAGCTTGGAAATGGTGGCCCAGGGTGAGCAGGTGGTGGGCCAGGTACATGCAGTTATTGTGCTGGATGGCGGCTAGGTGAGGGAACTTGAGCAGGTTCTCCCTGAACAGAATAGCAGAGAAACAACAGAATCATTCACAGCTGTAGGTGAAATGTGTAGGTTTGGTCTGCTATGTGTTATGTGATGGGAAGATCCTTACTTGTGATATGTTGGTACAACATCATGGAACAGCTGGAAAATATTTCTCACAGTGAAGAAGAGTTGCAACGCACTGAAAAGAAAAAAGACTGATTAGATTTCACATTTACTCAGTCATGATGTTCTGACCAAAAAGCCTCAAAAAATTCATTGGTGCCATGTTGATAGGACTTTTCTATTATTTTTTTCTGAATGTGAAGGTCACTGCCTTCCTCATAATAATCAGTTCAGCTATACTGACTTGTGTAGCTTCAGTGTTTTATGAGTGTAGAGCAATAATCCTATGGGACAAAGAATCTCTACATGAAGAAAAAGGTGTATCAATTCACATAAGAATAAATAATGCTGAAACTTCACATCATATGAAATTACTGTCTTAGTTGTCCCATTTAGGCAAACTCTATGCAGACAGGCAAACTTGACTCATAGCTCAAAACAAAAGACAGTAAGGTCTCTGAACACCGTAACATACCACTGTGTGGAGCTTCCAACGGCCTCACACAGGGTGCTGAGTGCCAGCTCCATCAGCTGCTGCACCGACTCACTGATGCGACAGGCTGGGAGACGCAGACTCCACGCAGACAGCTGCTTTGTGTTCTCCATTGTCATCCCCTCCTTTGTGGTCTCTTGCTTCACCTTCGCTGCTGAACTTGGAGCAGGCAGCTTAGGGAGACGCAGCTTGGAGTATGGTGTGATCTAAGAGAGGGCAGATTGGAACAAATGAAAGCAATTAAATAAGGAGACAAAAATCAGCATCAGGAGATTTTGGGAAACACCTCATGTAAAGCTGGACTATGCCATGTCCAATCTAGTTCAATCTAATCTGCTAACAGCACCCCGACAGCTAAATGCATGCTCAATTTCTCATCTTCAATTTTAGTTTACAGCAACTGCATCAATCACCCGACTCCAGTGCATTCACTCTGACGCTCAGACAGCTTGAGCCTGCACATACTTTGACAGTGTTGTGCATCTTGGAGGTCATGAGTTTGCGAGCTGTCACGATGACATCCTTGCATTTCTTGGTGGCAAAGTGACAGTTGACATCCCTGGCATATTTGAGAAGGTCTGTGGAATCACCCTGCAGATACTGCATTTCCACTAGAGACTTCTCAAACTCCTCCGTTTCCTTGATCACCTTGAACATGCACAAAAAATATGTATTCAGTTTAAATGCAACACTCATCAGTGGCCAGAACTACTACATTAATCTAAGAACAGCAAGACAGAGAGACCACTTTTGTCTATATGTGAGCCTTAAGAACTGCTCACAAATTGAACTGGTAACAGCTGTATACTTTCAGTTTGTGGCATAATATCATAATACTATACAAAGTGCCTTCAGGTCCATACAGTGTTGTATTTCTCCAGCTGGGTGCTGTTTGTGGGGATAGAGTAGAGCAGACACTCGTGGATGATGCACTGACAAATCTCCTCCCAAATCAGCTCCCCCAAGATCGCCGAGAGCTTTTTGTCACCAATGGACACATCTGAAAAATAACAGTACAATGTGTAATATCTCAACAGTGTTCACAGTTTATCCATACGATAAAAATATCTCTTGCTGATTAAATCTTATATTCCACGTCAGTACTAATAACACTATCTGTACTTCAGAGTTGTTCTTCTGCTGACTTTCTACTAGTTCTTTTGATGTGACTGGTGATGACTCATGAAGTCATGATCAAGATCTAAAACACACTCACAGTGAGCAACCTTAGAGCGCTACCACTTGCACACAGTAGCAATGTTAAATACGACGCTGAGGCTCCGAAGTGTGGCTCGCATCTTTACAGCAGTTTCCACTGAACCTTCATATTATTTTCTGAGAATCATGTGATCGATGATGAACGAGGCCTTAGTTTCTTGAAGAGTTACATGAGTGTTTGAAATTCAGTTCTTTGACAGAAGGACCAAGATATCTAAACCTTTTGTCATTTTTGTGATGGCCGATTGGTTTGCACAAAGTGCAAAGGCTTTCTGCTAAGTTCAGTACTGAGGATTTTTAATAGTGTTTAATTCAACTCTTGACAGTGAGAGTACAAAATCTTCTCCTGTTTGGGAGGATTTTGAGTTACACAAGTACATTAAATTGCTGCAACGTGTCTATAACACTTGCACAACGGCAGTGGGACAAGTGATTATGATCATCACTTTTAACAGAAGGGGGTCACTAGTGAACTTTGAATAAAATGACGCTTTAAGTAATCAATCTCCTGGCAGTACAATGAACTGCAAAGCATCACTATGAAAGCCTGGTATGGTTGTCACCGACATACGGACCCAGCCATACTGTACCTAGCAGGTGTGAGTGCAGTGTCTTGAGCACCAGGAGCAGTTTGCTGTAGACCTGTGAAGGAGTGGATCGCTCTTCATGGCTCTCCTCCAAACACTGTAGGGCCAGGACGGTTCCCTCACCCTGCTGCTCTGTTACATACACTGACAGTGATGGGTACATCACCAGTGGCTTCAGCATGTTCTTCAACAGTACTTGACCTGAACAACAGAACAGAAATGAGAACTGAGCAGGTTGTGACCTTGGACACACTGTGCTTCACAGCTACACTGTTCCCTGTGGTGCACATATTAAATGAAATCAAATAAAGTGTCTGAAAGGTATGAAAATATATTTTAATGGACAATAATAATACTGCATATTTAACAGGAAGGAGTGTTGCTTGTTCTTACTGAAGAGTTTGATCTTGTGCTGAAGGTCTCCCTGGATGGCCAGTGCTTGTAGGACACAGTGGAGCAAAGCAGATGGCTTTGATTCACTGTCCTTACTGCCATCATAGGTCAGGTTCAGCTCCACCTTTAGGAAGGACTCCAGACCTGCAGGTTCTAGTGGTACAAATAAAACACTTCTGGATAGGTTTGCTATCATGTTTTTAAATACACAGAACAAGAAATGCTAAATAAATAAATTAAAAAAAGAAAGACCAGTTTATAAATGCATCTATTTTGCACAAGGTGGTGGTGGTGGGGAATCCTGAAAATGTTTAGCACATTTTTGAGGCTATGACTGGAATTAATGTGGTTGATGGATGAAGGCAAGAACTGGACTGGTTTGCTGCACAATCCTCTGTATGATCAGTGTCACATGTATACAGCCATGTACTGAAGAAAAACAATGCTAAGTGAGGTCTCCTGTATCTTTAAGACAAAAATGAACACTGCTGCATTTGAGAAGCATAGCGTATTTTGTTACACTATGTAGTAAAAAGTTTGTACGCAGCAGTGTGTGGTATAGAGTTTACTTCATATAGACATATCAAAAAAATGTAAACCAGTTTTCTGAGGATGTCTTACCCTTTGAGGTTGGTAATCTCCAAATGACGAGGCGCTTCCACTCATCTCCCAGGTGGTAAATTAAGTTTTCTCTCTGCACTGTCAACTCAGAACCAAGAGCACCGAGCAGTGGCAGCTGGGAAGTCTTCCAACCCTTTAGTGAATCCACACTGGTCCTTGCCTGCAAGATACCCATAAATCTGTACATTAAATTTACGCTTAAACTGACCTGAAACCAGGTTACTGTGAATACATTCATGGACCAGTTTCCCCTCCCTCCCTAGACCCCATTTTAAGAAGTAGAATGCTGATTTTAACTGTATAAATGCTTGTCTATACAGAAGACTAGTCACTACGAGTAACACATATAAACACACAGTGATCCACAAGAAGTTACACAAATCTCATTACACCGCCCTATTTTGTGAAATTATTTACATGTAGCTTGGATTCTGTGTCCTGTTTACTGCCCTTTCAGCTTGCTTTCGGCATGAGTAAGCCAACTCATGCCGAAAGCAAACTGACAGGGCATCTTTTTCCTGTTACAGCTATTCTTCAGAGTTTTTGCCAACAAGTTAAAGCTACTTTTCAGGATCATTTCTGCTTTATACTGGGCACTGATAATTAATTTAATCACAAAAGGTCTCTTGGTGAGGTTGTTATAATTTCAGGTGTATTATAGGTGTAGCTGACAGCCTGCCTGAAGATATTTACTTTACATACAGACGGTTCAGTTTTCAGTGAAGTGCCCAGTGCTAGCAGAGTAGAGATGCTGTCGTGTGAACATAATGTAAGCAACTCTCTTACCCTTTCCAGGTGGTTGGCTGCCTCAACATATTTCTTTTCTTGTAAAGCTTTGCTGAACTCCTCCATTGCATTGTGAAACTGACACACAGAGAAGATATGACATCCACACAAACATTCAGAAGTGTAAGTTGTGAATGATTCCACTATCAAAGTCATCATACCAATTCAGTTTGTTTTGTAGTATACTACAGACAGTAACTTTTAGTATGACCTCCTTATGGAAATAACTATATAAATGACAATATTTTTTGACAAAAAAATGAGATTAGCATTCTCATAACTTTAAAGATATAGAAAAGCCAGCTTATTTTTATATACAATATGTTCCTAATTTGGGTATAGGAGCACTGTGGAGAACCACTGGCCCTATTTACATATTACATTATATTTGATTTAATAAATCACAGTGTTGACGTACTTCTTTAAGGTGTCCTAGCATTGTTATGATGACAGTATTTTTCGCGAGCTGCTGCTTCAGCTTTTCATACTCAGCAACAGCCACGTGGATGCTTTGCTGCACCTGTGTGTATATACAAAAACACCAAACAGTTAAAAAACTAAAGCACTGCTGTAAATCTGACCCAAAAAGACCTAATCTCAACCTGCTCTGTGAGCAGAGCTAGCTTAAGTAGCGCTTTAATTTCTAAGCAGCGTCACACATACCTCATTCTCAATGCAACTTTTAAGGGCATCCATTTCTCTGGAGACCTCATCAACCTGTACCATTAGCTCCTCAGATCCTTGTAGACTAGGAAGAAAGTCAGCATACTTCTTGTTTATCATGTCACATACTTCTTCCTAGAAAAAGAAAACGTGAGGAAAAGATTTAATAGAAAAACTGTCATGAGATATTGATTTTGCTTTTATCTCAGATAATTTTTTTGCTGTGTTCAGTTATGGGTGTATATTAAAATTCTCATTCACTTTATAAAACAGTAACTCATGTTAATATACTACAGGTATTAATTATTCAAGTTTGTACTCATGATCACTTTACACATCAAATCAAATCAATTCAATTCAATTGTATTTGTATAGCGCCTAATCACTACAAAAGTCATCTCAGGACACTTTACAAAGTAAGGTCTAGACCTTACTGTTATCAATATTATTACATAGGGAAAACCCAACAAATCCCCCTTGAGCAAGCACTTGGCGACAGTGGGGAGGAAAAACTCCCTTTAACGGAAGAAACCTCCGACAGACCCCGGCTCTTGGTGGGCGGCCTTCTGCCTTGACCGGTTGGGGTGAGTGGATAGAGGAGAGACAAAAGAAGAAAAGCAACAAGACACAACAAACAAACAATCAAACACATGCCTGAAGGTGGAACCTGAAAAATGTTTTGCTTTAAGACTGACTTGCACAACTGACAATTTTATGTTGATCAATCATTCCAGCAGTTCTACTACTACTGTCCATAAATTAAATTTATTTTGACCCTAAAATCAAGCCCAGCTGTCGTCTAATGCCTAAACATTCTTGAAAGCTATTTTTCCCAGTTCTCTCAACCAGGAACTCAGAGAGACGAGGCGGTCCAAGTGGATACAAAAAACTGTGCTGGTTTATTCAAAGGATCACAGGCAAAATTAACATTACATGTCCAGGAATCTTCCACCTCCAATACTGCGCGCAGGCAGATGAAGAATAAAAGACCCCGAACCCAACAGGCCTGTACATTATATCTGGTTTGGGCTAACCCCATTCTACACAGCGAGGTCAAACCGTGGCGTCACCCGATATGCCAGCTTTACAGCTGACCGTAGCAGTAGTCAAAACATGGAGAAGATCAATGTGTGTGAGTGTTGATTATGTGGTGTGTATCTAAGAGCATACAGGACATTCAGGGACATGACCTGACATTAAGCCTAGGACGATATTATGATTAAGATTACGGCTAAACATATCATAATAATAACAATAATCATCCTGTCTGCTGACAGTCAAACTTTTCTATCTAGTTATCCTTGACCATATGCACCCTGCAAAAAACTCATGAGAATGACTAAGCATTTAACAGCCTACCTAGACATCCTGTCTCCACTAAACATTTCTAATACAGCAAGTATCTAACCGATATCTATCTGACTAAAAAAATACCTAACATACTGTATATACTTTTAAGTTTAATACAATACAAATGCTGAATATTGTTATAATATATATTAGGTATATAAGTAGCAATTGAGATTTATTTAAAGGATTAATAAACAAGAAATTGCAAATGACACAATAACAATGTCTTTGCATTCTATCATTTGTGTGTAGCTTAATGGAGCCACATAGTCACCATATGGCTAGCTAACAGTCTTGCGAAAGAAAATGCATTTAACTCGTTTTAAATTAAACTAGCTGGGGGTATCGTTCAGTATCACTGGCGTGGCTAACTTAAAGCTGTTCCGTAAAATGTAGCTAGCGTTACTCAAAGAACCAATGATGCTGGATCAATTTCAATGTTAGCGCTAACAGCTAAGGCTAGTTTAAACTTTACTTAGCGTAGCTAATGCTATGCTACGAAGTGGATTACCTTCGTATCTTCCACTTTGCGCGACATTTTGCTTATTTTAGTGGACAGATCTTCTTTCTCCAGTTTGCCAGAGCTGGCGAGCACTTCAGTCACAAATGACGCCATGGTGAAGTAATATAATATTTTACAAAAGTGTGACAGATCAGCAGCACAAACAACTCCAAACCCGCCAGGCAGTCTGATTGGTTCCCAGATTCTAGCGACTGAATTCTCTACAAACCCTTCTTCTTCTTCGTTTCTTTTATTTTGTGACAAATTACTACTATACCAAACCATTACCGTCACTAACTGTTAGGAGAGTGTATAACCTTCCTGTAGGTTGCTGAATTCTGCTGGATATAGACACTTCATAACAAAAGGTCTGACTCCCACAAAGGCCACAAACAAAAAAGTGTGGCAAGAAAAATAATAAATAGAAATAATAATGAAATCGGAAGGCAGTAGTGTAAAGTACAAAAGCATGTTTTATAGATACAGAATTGGTAGGGAAGAAATCATTGGACTGCTACCTGTTGGAGGCAAAAGGGCTCGGTCATACACATGATAAAATAAAATAAAACCCAGTTGTGGAAGAAGTACTCAGATCTTGTGCATTATATTAACAATCAAAACTCCAGACTCCCGTAATACTGTTATAGAAGCCAATTTCTAAAAAATAAATAAATAAATACATTGGAATAATATCAGGAATTTAAACAATTATTTTCGCTAATCATAACTTTATGTAAACTATTACTTTTTTAAGCTAGATCATAGGCTAAAGGTCAAAATAATTGGGCTATGTCATAATCTTGAGACTGTCTGAGCAGGCCAGGACAGGAGGACAGATAAAGGCACACATTTGAGTAGCTGGATGCCTCGGCTCCTCTGAAACTGATGGACAAGTTGCAGAAAATTATATATCCATTCATCGGCTAATCATTTAATCAACTTGTTGTTTCAGAAGGATGTTTCTTGGATTTAATTTCTTATGAGCATCCTGACCAAATATTGTATTACCAAAGAGAGTTTTATCCTCTTGAGATTTCTGTCAAAATACTACTCTGTACTCCAGCTCAATAGATGGCGATATCGCTATTGTCAACCGAACGAAGAAGAATTATCTGCATCTCTATGGCAACGAAAGGCATCTGTTTGCCGTGATTGGCTTTAAGCTCGTTAGCTTTTCACTGCAGATCGTACCACCTACAGTATACTTCTTTGCTGTTACTCTTGTCCGTTATTTGCAAACGCTGAGGCGGTTGGCTAATAAACTATAAGCTGCTGAGAGTCTGTAAAGGACTAAACTAATAAAAACAGCTAGCCTATATGCTAACACTAGCTAACGAAAAGTGCTAGCGTTAGCTAGTACAAAACCGATAGCGATTTGCAACTGTTAAATGATACTAAATATTCATGGCAGACGATTGGAACACAGATACTGGAGAAGCTGTGTATCGGTCTCGGGATGCAGTGAAAAACCTGAGAGTAAGGTAAGTAACTAAAAGTAACGTTATCATTACAAAGCTGCAAACATTACGCAAAGTATGGGCTCGGGACACTTGAAGTTTCACCATGCTCTCTATTTGTTCCTCTCCTTAAGGGTGCGTATAGAAAGAGTGACCTCCACAACAGCTCTCTCTCAGCACCTCCAGCAGCAAGTTCTGTCCCAGCAAGACAGAGGAGCCATTGAATTGGAAACCCTCACCTCACAAGGCAACACAGGTAATGTTGCTTCTACTGCAGGGAGATGGATTGATGGCAGTGTTAATTTTCATGGGAAATATGCTGCTGAACAGTCACAGTTTGAGTTACTTACCCATATTTCACATATGCTTTTGTAATGGATGTAATGTAATAGGATATTATGGTTTTAAATATTAGGTGAGAGAGCCATGACAAATCTGATAGGCACTAATGTTACTGGCAACTAACAATGATTATTTTTCAGTTTATAAGAAGCTGTACTTCTTACTCAAAACACAGTATGTCTTGGCTGTGCATATTATAGACTATTTGGCCTACTTTTGGTGGAGACTTTGGAAATGCCCTTACAAGTTGTGATCCACAGGAAAACAAAAATTGTCAAATCTTTCTAAGGCATCTTGACATATTTTATCTTTGAATATTTAACATGCATTGAAGTTACACTGTTTTGTCAGGTTTCCTCAGGTGTCAGAAAGTATAATATACAATCACACCAGAATGGGTGAATGTAACAGACATATAACTTGTGTTTATACATGCACACATGTTTAGGGTGGATGTGTCCATCAGAGTATATTTTAATAAGTTGACATTTCTGTTACTCTGCCACCAGGTCATAATGAGGAGGAGCTCGTGGTGGGCTGGCAGGAGAAACTCTTTAGTCAGGTAAAACTTTGACTGTGTAATATCCTCATCACACAGCATGTTGAACCTATATTGCTTGGAGTGTTTTAAATTAAAAACAAAACAAGTCAGAGGCCAAGAGTTAAGCCAGTTTTGCAATTATTACTTGTCCTTGTAAGACTCAAAATTTATATCTGTAGACCCTGTTTATGAACTTTACCTCTTCATCATCACATCGCCCTGTCTGTGGTTGTAGTATGAGATGGACCTATTCCAGAATGAGGCAGTATGTCAAACCCCTCTGGACCGTCAGTACCACACAGAAGTCAAGGCCCTGAACAGGGGCAAGGGCCGACGAAATCTCAGGATTTTCACATACACGGATCATGACCGCTACACCAACTGTCTTGCATACCAACAACTGGTAGGTCACGTTGCAGCCTACAGTGTCACTACCATCATCCGATAATTCACATTACAGCATTATAGTTTTATATACAAAACAGGTCAAAGTCAATCTTAATAGGATTAATTAGAGACAAAGTGAATAAGCAAATTTATTGGAGTGTTAACCTACCCTGTTTGTGGTCTCCTTCTCCAAGCCCACAAACCCCATTGACTAACTGGGTTATTAGATTTGACTCATTTGGGTGTTCAGTCATTTTAGTCAGTGTTGTTGAATTTGTGATAGCTTCTGGAAAGTTTATCTTGTTTGACCTTGGTGTTATATTGTATATGAACCAGACGTTTCTCCGCAGTTCCAGTGAAAGTTCTGTCACTGCAAAACGAAGTAGCTGTACCTATTATATTACACTTATTCCAGTGTAGCCTTCCTTTGTGAAAATTTCTGTGAAACCACAAAGTCTGTAGTTGTGTTTCTAAGTTGCTTCTTGTTTTTGATCCTTAAAGCAGCACTCCACTGATATATTGACTACAGCTAAATCCAACCCCACCTTTCTGGCTGAAAGGATGGCCAGCATGAGACACAGACGGCAGGATAGACACACCATGTAGGTGAAACACCAGCTCACTCCATGAAGCATACAATACTTGCATTGTGGAAATGCAATGGATTTAGGATTACATTACATAAAGAAGGATATTAATTCACAAAGACAAGGATTATAATGTGGTATGGTGTATTTTCCAGGGATAGTAGTGTATCTAAGTCAAAAATCATCAACTGGGAGCCCACAGAGGAGTTTGTGAAGAGCAGTCATGTAGTGAATAATGCTATGCAGACCATGCATATCATGGGAGACCTGGGCCCCCCTGGAAGGTAAGACCATAACCATGAAGACCCAGTTTATGTCCAGTTCAGTCTTTATTTGATTTGCTTTGGAAAATTTGCAAGCATGGCATAAAAAAAAGATTCATCTGTAAGTCCCACTGGTCAGTGTCCACCTGGTATTAATATGATCTGTATCTGGATGTGTTATCTGGATGATGGCATCTTATCAGAGGCCTATGGGTGTGCACCTGGTATTAATAAATATCTTGTAAACAAATATATCACCCCTGTCATTGTGGACACAGGGACACAAGTCTTGCAGCTTACCAATCCAAGGAATAGTTTCCTGTTTTCAAATTTCACTGACAGCATAAATGAACATCTACATGTGGATGTTTTGTTGTAATTTTCTTTCTCTATATTTACATTGTCAGGCTGGGGCAGAAGGAGAATGAGTGCTTGCTGGTAACAATAAAAACAGACAGCAATGGAACAGTCATTGTGAAACCTGACTTCAATAAAGGCAGAGAGCCCTACAGGTAAGTTTACAGCCTCAGTAGAGCCATAGTAGCTAAAGTATTGACTGATATATTGTCATATCAACATGTTTTAAAACAAGTGTATGATAAAGCTGTACTCTGCCATACCAGCAGCTAAAAGACCCCTGCTTTGGTCCAGACTGAAATATATTGATAAATCTTAGATGGACTGTGATGAAACAAAAAACGAAGTTTTGTTTATCATTAGGATAAAGGAATATATATTTGTTTAATTAATCAAAAGAAAGCCAATATAGTGTGTGTGCTGCTGAGCAGGATTGTAACAGAGGGGGAAAAGAAAGAGGTTTGGCGTCTTACTGTGGAGAATGTATCCAAAGCCATGAAACCAGATGATAAGGACAGGGAGCAGAAGATATACAAAGATGTAAGTTCATCTTCATCACCTTTTCTTTAGGACCAGAGTAGAACTGGAGAATATAGCTTTAAATGTTCACTGGTTGATTATGGAGTTACAGTAAACAACATGTACTGTGACATTGATATAGTATCTACTTCTCTGTTTCTAGCTGCATGCAAGGCACAAGGATTACCTCAATAGCCTCCTTGGACAGGACTTTGAAATGGTACGTCATTTAATAATGCCCACTGTACTTTCCCAGAGCCCAAAGTTACAGATGCTATGTACTACAATTTGAATGCTTTTCCCAAAACCCAAAGATATTTAGTTTATCATAACAAAAAGCCATGAGTCCTCACATTGGAGGTGTAGCCAACAAATATTTGGTATTTCTACTTGGCTGGATGACTGAAATGAGTGATCAAATACTGTATTAACACTAGATTAAAATCAAAATGATCTGGTTAACAGTTTTGATGTTGGTCCACAATTAGCAAAGGCTTATAACTAGATGTCTTTCCATTAGCCTCCTGCAGGTATTCTGCGCTACCTGATGAACGGAGAGATAGGTGAGTAGGATGGCTATGCTCACATTCTGCGTTTCTAAATCAACAGTCTTTGGCAATGATATCTTCTTCCTCCTCTCTACCCAGTCTCAGCTGAAGGCTTTGAATATGATAACTTATACATCCACTTCTTCATGGAACTGCCCAACAGTGAGTCACATACGGTGTATGGCTTTATTCACACTGTGCTGTTGAGACCTAAATCAGTTAAACTAAATGGAATTTACCATTTCACCTTCTATTATTCTTGTTTGTGAAAGACTGGTCCAGTTTGCCTTTCCAGTCACTCTCTGGAGTTACCCAGACCTGCCGGACCAAAACATTAGGAAGGGTGTGTATACTGTAAAAGAAACTACTGAATGATCTCAGTGTGTCTCTACTGAGATTTGTCAAACCTTCAACATCCTCTCTGCCAACAGGAAAACGTAGCTTTCTTCAGTTACCCCTTCAGCTTTGAAGCTTTCTACATGAGTGAAAAAGAGAGTGAGGGTTAGTATCAGCCATGGAATACGGTGTTTAAAGTATTTGTTGCACGCGTATAAAATGCTAGCAGTTTGTTTATTTGAATGATTATTGATTACTGCACATGCCAAATGTCAATGTGCGAGTTATCAATGTGACGATTCGCTGTGGCGACCCCTAAACGGGAAAAAGCCGAAAGTGACTTTCTATTGATTACTGCAAGATTTGACTGATACATGAGTTTTCTCCTTATTTCAGAATCACTTCTCCAGTGGCCAGTGCTCTACTTCAAGGTTCTTTCTCTGGACTTCTGGCAGCGCTATCGAACTGAAGGCTATGGCTATCTGCTTTTTCCTACCATACCTGGTAGGCTTTGGGGTTAAAATTAGGGTTGCATTCAACAGTTGTTCTTGCTATCTCATTATTATTATTGCTGAAGAGTTTTCCAGTCAGTTGATTAATTTTATCATTAGCCTTGTTTGCCCACATTTTATGATGTGTGTGTATATGCTTGTGTATACTAGGTAAACATATAGTAACATGCCATACGTGGAGACCCCTTCAGACAGGGACAGTCTCTGCACTGAGACGCTTCTTTATTGGAGGTTCTCCGGAGCTTGAAGACTTCAGCTATGTCAGAATACCAGGAACCTTTAAGGTAGGATGTAGCCTCTGTGGAAGCTCTCTGGAGGTGAAAAGTGAATATGTATAGCTGGAACTCTTTTTTTTTTGCTATTTCTTTTCAAAGATGCACAGCTGATTCTGCTTCAGTTGATTGTACTGTGAGGATATAGAATATTTGTGTTTTGAATTGTATTTTTATAATTAGATTTAGTCTTTTTATAATTGCACCAATTGCATTAATGTTTTATATTAGTGCTAAATGGAAACCAAAAGTAGGATCACACTTGACTAAGTTACCTAAAATGAGTTTCCTTGTAAATAACCACATTACATTCATTTTTATCACAAAGATACAGTGTCGTGTTTTGATGTACATTTTCATCCTGATTCATTTGCAAGGCCAGTTTTGTGAATATTTTGGAAACTGCATTACTTATGTCCATGTTCATGCTGTGTTAATAATGATTTTTTTTTATTTATACTTCCACATGTGGCTGTAGGGAGAGAGGCTGAGTCGCTTTGGCTTTTACACTGAAACCACAGGAAGCGTCACTTTTAACCTGCACTGTATTCAGCAATCAAGGTAAGCCATGTTTGAGTCAATCCAGATCTAAAGGAAAAAGGATTGCTGTGCTCTGAATCTACAAGTTAAAAATGTGTTATTGTGTCCAGTAGCCTTATGCACAGTGTTTAATCTACAGTATCCTATTGGGTTCCAGCACCGCAGTGAATTATTTAGCTACAGCTACATCTGACTCTGTGAACTTAGCCAACCAGACCAATATACTGTACACTGTTATCATTTTTCACATGGTACAGTGCAAACATCAGAAGCAAACTCAGGTCATTCACTTGGTCAGAGATGTATATGGATGGATTATGAGATAACTGGCCCCTGGGTACAAACATGTAAAAGGCCCCCACACCTCCTACAGTATAAAAGCAAATAATTTTGTTACTATTTGAAGTCACGTTTTCTATAGTCATACATTTTTTGCAGTTGCAGTTGTTTTCATCTCCTTTTAGTTGTTTTGTGTCTCTTTATAGTTGTATTGCAATAATTTGTTTGTTTTGCATCTACCTTTACTCATTTTTGCATCTCTTTGTAGTTGTTTGATTGACTTTCCACATATATTTTCAATATTAACAGTCACTTTATACAGAGGCTCCCCAGGAGTCCCCTGACCCCTGGGTCAGTGCTCAGTAGGCCTCTTTAGTAATCCATCAATGGAGACCTATCACTCTTGAATTGAACATTGTACACTTTTAACCCAGTTTTGAACCCAAATTCCTGGTGTTTTTTAATGAGATTTTGGTGTTACAATGTGGCAATGGTATGCTTACCACGATTCTTACATTTACAGCATCTTTGTCACATAGCAGTTCAGCAATCTAAGGTTCAAGCATCCTATTTGTAAATTTTGAGAGCTACAGGCAGTTCAAGCTTCCTTCTGCTAATAATTTTCCACCACAGGGTATTTGTGTATGCTATTTCAATGTAATATTTCATTTATCATCATTCATACATTTATAATATTAAATGTTTTCAGTATAATTGCTGAATGTGTGGTTTATTATATATTATGTTGTGTATATTGCAGGGCCTTTGTTGATGCCACCATGTTGAAGAAAAGGAGGCAGAGGGTTTTTGAACAGCTGGGAGGATTTAGTCAGGAAGGAGCTGTCTGCAGCATCCTGGGTAATCACATTCAAAATTACTTATTCTGTATTGCATGTAGCTTAATTTCTAGGTTTAAAGGATAAGGCTGGTAATTTTCTGGCATTTTGGTTATTCTTCACAAATCCCATACAGAGACTAAAACCAGCAGTGAATTTCATGTACTCATTTTAATGTCTGTAACTCCACACCCTGGTTTAGCTAATTCCACTGTGTTGGCGACCTCTACTGTGGTTCAAGAACTATTAAAGACACACCAGTAATCCACACCACTGCACTGGGTGATGTTTTTTTTTTTTACTCACATTATACATGGGGTACATCCATACACTAAAATCATCCATTACTTCATACAGTCTCTGAAGTAAGGAAGAGCCAGCTGCTCCTGCATGTGATCTGTTGCCACCACACTGCTAGCCTCTCACACTAAGTACCCCAAATTTATTGTTGGTTTTTGTCTCTGTGGGGTTTGTTGAAAATAACCAAAACAGAAAATCACCAGCCTTATCCTTTAAAGATCTGTTTAGAGGCCAAGTTGAGTGGGAGGTCAGTTTGTATTGAGTATGTATTGTTTATTGAGTTTTTTTTCCTTTGTCAGAGGCCTTCCAGAGGGCCAGAAGAAAGATGCAAGAGGCTCGAGAAAGTCTTCCAAGAGACCTCATCAACGCCACCTCCCAGCTCCAAATGGAATCCTCTGCATAGGTCTGAAGAACATAATAAGACTGTCATTCTCTCAAATACTGTATATTTAAGTGCCCAAATGGTTTCAACATACCGCTTGGAGGTTTAGAATCAAGGTGACATAACCAGCAAGTATGAGTTGCCATTTAAAATATTACTGTTTTTTTTTTTTTTGCAGATAAGACTATGATGTACAGTAACAAGTCACAGAAAAGAAAACAATGTCTGGGTGCTAATTATTCTTTGTAAAGACAGCTAACATATTTGGAGGGGTAATAATTGGGATAAAATATGGATGGTAAAGCAGCAAAGCCAGTGTGCCTATGACGAATGGCATCACCATGCACCATATTCAGTGGACAATTACTTTATTAAATTGTCTCATTTGAGTTATAGACAGTGATTCTTGAAAAAGCTGATATAACAGAAAATGTGTTTTCTATAGTTTATTTTAAACAGTATCATTTCTTGTAACCTTTTATAAGTTATACATAACACTGGTTTATGTATTTTTCTTTGTGTCTATAGCAGGTGCAATTCAACTTTCATGCAAACTTTGACTTTATATGTTTTGTATACATACTGAAAGTTAAGTTCCATATAAAATTTGTGCACACAAAAAACAGTGTGTGGTGTGGATGGCAGTGATTAAGGCTGTGGGTCAAAAGGGTCTACCCTATTATCAATAACTGTGACAGTAAGAAGTATTTGAGTCTATGAGGAACATCATTCGATTTCTGGAGTGCAGGTTAGTATATGCTGTATGCAGCCAAATGCTACCAGAGCAGTCAACAGGTTTTCCATGTAATCTACTGTTCAATACTAAACCCCTAGCTCAAACAAAAAAGATGGCCTAACAAAAGTCATGCTTCCACAGCACATACAGTACAAAGGATGTACTAGCTGAAAAGTTCCACGTGTTGCATTTTGTGCCGTCACTTATCATTAAATGCAGAAAACATTTTTTGGCTAGAATGTAATATACAGTATATTTGTAACATAAAATGTGCCATGACCCACAATTGCACATTTTGTGCTGTTTTTCTTACCCAAGATTGAACCTAGAATATGTGAAATTCTCCCTCATAACATACATGAATATATACATACAATATACATGAATATATATAAAAGCATTAAAGTGCCCAACACTATATAAAGTTGTTACTACACCATTTAAATGTTACATCTTAAGGCATCAATAATTAGGGTCATCAATCATTAGAAATGACCCAACCAAATCTTTATTCTTGTGCTACATTCACAACTATGGGAAACTGTGGAGTCATAAATAGTCACGCCCGAGATCCGATGTACATACCTGTAAATTTCACTTTAAAAATTAGCACGTGTATCGATTTTATTTAACTTGTGAAATTACACTAAAGTGGAAATATTGATAGGTCTACATCTGAAATCAACTACCTAATCGTCGGTAAGTGGGAGAAGTGGCTGCTCATGGTGGCTTAGCTGTGTGTGATGTGTCGCCGTTCCATTGCGTTCATTCTGTTTGCCATTTTCGCTATTCACAGATCTAAACCATATCAGTCTATAAAGCACTGGGTCGGTCTGTGGCACGGTATATTCTGGTATACACCGGGTATGCACTACTTCCTTAGAGGTTCAACTCAAGAGGGAAGTTATCCAATATCCGAAGGCAGTGAACGTTCCATCGCAATCCTTATTCTCCATCTTTCTCCAACCAGGCGAGGGACCAGCCTGTGGTATTACCCACTATAATATTTCCCCGGTGATATAAACTCAGTCGGGTATAGAAAATATTTTACAAGATTTCTATCACGTTATTGTTATTTCGTGTGGTTTTATATGGCATTTTGCTGGTTTGTACGCCACCTAAATTAACGTTAACAGCTCCTGTCAGCAGCAATGGAAAATGGGCCGGCGGTCACTTTTTAATTTTGATGTTAGATTACCGTTAATGCCATAGTAGTCACACCGGACTGGTTGCTGATCTTGGTGCCTCTATAGTTGATAGGGCTTGTAGTTTGTTATTAGCTAGCTAGCATTTCTATTCGTGAGTTAGCGTTAGCGATTACCATTAAACGGATTCATTTAGCATGCAGCAAACAGGCTAACATTAGCAACGTGAGACTGCTGTGGTTCTGTCTAACTTGATTTCTGAGCAAGATCAAACGTTGTCACATCCAGGGACACATTACCTTAACGTTAAATGTCAGGTCTAGTATAGGCTTAACAATAGTATTAACGTTAACAATTGACATAAAAGACACAGCTAATTGGTATGATAGCTATGTAACGTAAGGTAACGCAAGCTAGCACTAGGAAGAGAAGGGAAGGACAGTAAAACCCAAGTGAATTAAGAAATGAACTCTCATTCAGTGCTAATTCTTTTACCGAGGGGGTGAATCTGTGTATTTCTTCTGTACAGACTCAAAAGACTACAGTCATGACGGACTCTAAATATTTCACAACAAATAAAAAGGGTAAGTAAGGAAGGCAGTGGTGCTGAAAAATCTGACCAGCTCTTTATACAATGCTGTTATCTGTCATTTCAGTCTGTCAAGCAAAGAGTTTCCTTTAACTTCCACTTCAAGTAACTTTAAGCTCAGAAAAATCAAACTGGACAGTAGGTAACACTTCGTGATTCTTCTTCCAGGGGAGATCTTTGAACTGAAAGCAGAGCTGAACAATGAGAAGAAGGAGAAGAGAAAAGAGGCAGTGAAGAAGGTCATTGCAGCCATGACTGTTGGCAAGGATGTCAGGTGCAGTAGGAAATTTTATCTGTGACATAAACCACATAATTCCAGAAATGATCATCTGTGACATGTCCAGCAAATTATAACAAGAGCAAACTTTAATTTCTTAGTTGATAGTGTGATTGCTATGTAGCTGGAGTTAATCTTAAGACACAGAGAAAAGGGTAATGTTGTAGCAATTGACAGTTCAGGAAATGATTGTTTCAGTACCTCTCAGGGCTCACCAGCAGTGCCATTAATTGACTAGTTGAACATATTAGTCAGTACAGTAGAAATGCAAGGAAGAAAACAGTACCTCTGAGAGATTATGTTTTGGTCAGTAGGGTGACTTGCATATTATGTTGTTCATGATGTAAATATAAGATGCAAGAAATAGCTTTATTGCAAACTTTGACCAAGGCCTTTTGCTTTGCCATCAGTTCTTTGTTCCCAGATGTGGTCAACTGCATGCAGACTGACAACCTGGAGCTGAAGAAGTTGGTCTACCTGTACTTAATGAATTACGCCAAGAGTCAGCCTGATATGGCCATCATGGCTGTAAACAGCTTTGTCAAGGCAAGGCCCTAAAATAACTTTTGTTTTTTCAGCTGTGTATAATACTGCCAGGGTATCCTGGACAGGCACATCTGCACTAAGGTACATAAATTAACAAAAAATGTTTTCCATCCAGGCTCAAATGAGTAAAGATGTGTTTTCAAATTTAACTGGCATAATGTGGACATGACACCAAAGGTCTGGAGTTTTAAGGTTTTACAATTTCTTTTAGTTATAGAAAGGTATACAATTTGAGCCACGGTGGGAACTACATGTCAGCTATTTTGATTAAGACCATAACTGCCTTCCAGGACTGTGAGGACCCAAACCCTCTGATCCGAGCTCTAGCTGTTCGCACCATGGGCTGCATCCGGGTGGACAAGATTACTGAATACCTGTGTGAGCCATTGAGGAAGTGTCTGAAGGACGAGGACCCATATGTGAGGAAGACGGCAGCTGTTTGTGTGGCTAAACTTCACGACATCAATGCCCAGATGGTGGAGGACCAAGGCTTCTTGGATTCTCTCAGAGATCTCATTGCCGACTCCAATCCCATGGTAGGTGTCAGGTTGGTGATGGAAACCTGGGCTTTCATTTCATGCATAGAATTCCACAAGTTTGAGTAAAATTTTGGCATCTATGTGCGTTCTCTGCTCTTCAACACAACCCAGCCAAATAAAGGGAAACAGTCAGCTAAATGCAGGTATTTCCTGGATTAGGTGGTTCTTAGACAAGGCTTAGCTGTGTTCTGTAGCCAGTTGTTTGTCACTCGCCTTTGTTGCTTTCAAGAATTTACAGAAGCAGATGATTCCCCAAAAAATTGGTTAGCAGAGGTGGTATGCACAGTATATACTGTATATCACCAGCTGAAATACTCAGTAAGTTGTGCACCAAGCTGTTATCAATCAATCTTCTGGTGTCACCTGCAGAGAGAGCTTGACATACCATAGTGTGTCTTTTCATCAGTTTAGTTACTGACAGTATAAAGATGAGCCTCACTCATTAAATACTGTACATGGTCTTTATTGTGTAATGTAACAGCTCTGCTATTTTTGCCTGAAGAGTTCTTCTTATATTTAGTTAAAGCATTCACTGAATCACTGTGGCTTTACAGTGAATATGATGATGAAACCCCCATGGTATAATAGTTAGACTAATCATTTAAAGTTCTCACAACAGAATATTTCTGATTTTAGGTTGTGGCCAATGCAGTTGCTGCCTTGTCAGAGATCAGTGAGTCTCACCCCAACAGCAACCTGCTGGACCTCAACCCCCAGAACATCAACAAGCTACTGACAGCTCTCAATGAGTGCACAGAGTGGGGACAGATCTTCATCCTGGACTGCCTGTCCAACTACAACCCCAAGGATGAGCGTGAGGCCCAAAGGTAGTGATCATAGTGACAGAATAAAATGCAATTAAATGTACCTAGTTCATTTTCCTTTACATACTCTCACCTTTTTCTTTTTCAAAGCATATGTGAGCGTGTCACTCCCCGGCTGTCTCACGCCAACTCAGCAGTGGTGCTGTCTGCTGTCAAGGTGCTGATGAAGTTCTTAGAGCTGTTGCCCAAGGACTCCGACTACTACAACACATTATTGAAGAAGCTATCCCCACCACTGGTCACCCTGCTCTCTGGAGAGCCTGAGGTCCAGTATGTGGCTCTGAGGAACATTAACCTCATTGTCCAGAAAAGGTGTGTGATCACAAAGACCATGTTTTATTTTTAGCTGCAGGTGAATTTATGTTGCTACCCCTGATATCCTGTATTGGTCTGAATATATTCTATAAAATACAGCCTGTTTTGGGCTCAGCACCAACACAATATTTTTTTTTGTATAATTGGGTTTAATAGATACTGCGCAGATGCACAGGTAAAAATTTGGAAACCTAGCAGCATGAGAGCTACACACACCCAATAATACAACATCGCTCCTTTTATTTCACAGGTAATTTTGACAAAGAATAACCTTTGTCATATATTCAGGCCAATAACATAGTGTAATTATGTTTTTAAAAACATCTTTTTGAATACAATCACACCCAAATTCCCGTGTAATGGTTTCCTTTTCGATGTTTGGATCACATGTTTTTGGATCTTCCTCCATTTAATGTGCATTGTATTGATGTGTGTAGGCCTGAGATCCTGAAGCAGGAGATCAAGGTGTTCTTCGTCAAGTACAATGACCCTATCTATGTGAAACTGGAGAAACTGGACATCATGATCCGTTTGGCATCTCAGGCCAACATTGCCCAGGTACTTCACATGAACTATGTGGTAACTCTGTATAGACAATAATTTTGCTGCAAAGTGGTTTTGTTTTTGTTTTTTTTTTCTTGGGTATTCTTTTCCAGTTATGGCTTATAGTAACACAATTGCAGGGAGAGAAATGTGTTGAATTTCAGAATATTTGGCCTTTCAGAACTTGAAAGATAGTGTATGTGATTTCAACACTGAGCCTTTGTGTGTATACTCTGTACCACTGTGTACAGTACACTTTGAAATGGAATGGACCAGATTCATAGATTACCTTTTTATTGTGTTGATCCTGTTGTTTGTTGTTAATAAAAAGGTCATGCTAAACTGTATAACTGTAATAACATCAACCTGGAACAAAATCAGTAAAACTGAATCACAGCTAAAATATCTGTTAAATACTGTATGTGTGTGGGGTGTTGTACTACATTCACTATATGTCACCGCTGTTCTGTCACTGTAAGGTGCTCGCTGAGCTGAAGGAATATGCCACAGAGGTGGATGTTGATTTTGTGCGCAAGGCTGTACGAGCAATTGGACGCTGTGCTATCAAAGTGGAGGTAAGAAATGGTATCATTCATCTGGACAGACTCAGCTACTGAGAAGTGTTGATTAGATTTGCCAGGTCTCTTCTGGCCTAGCTGAAAATACCAGCACCCTTAGTGAATTATACATTCAAACTAACTGGTCAGTTAATGATATTTTCACTGCAGGCCACCAGCAGTGACAAGCAGCTCTTTAGACTAGATGCTCTATTGTTTTTGTTTGTTTGATATTAGGAATTGCAGCTTTAATGAATTCCTCTGTATGAAGAGTCACTTCAGGCCAGTGTAAACGAATGAAATAGGTTGTGTTTGAATTTTTGTGACAGTTTTTCCCCAAGTAATGTTGCCATGGTACCTCTGTCCTGTTCTCCAGCAATCTGCTGAGCGCTGTGTCAGCACCCTGCTGGACCTGATCCAGACCAAGGTCAACTACGTGGTTCAGGAGGCTATTGTGGTCATCAGGGACATCTTCCGGAAGTACCCAAACAAGTATGTTTTCCACTGAAATGTTCAGCACAAAGCAACCAACTAACCAGTCCTTAACATATATTTGTTTGTTGACATATTACCTCTGAGACTGTGCAGCTCACATATGTCCATTCATTACATACTGGATAACTAGTCAGTCTTTCAACGCAGTCTGATGTTTTTTTTTTTTTTCTCATGCCATCTAACATGTCTGTTTGGACTTGACCAGCAATCACATTACACATTCCAGCACTTTACTGCAGATGCTAGCCTTTATTTCCATAAAGCTTTTATTAGACATTATACACTTAATGCTGCTTGTAAAGAGACACTGGTGTTCTTTAGGTATGAAAGCATCATTGCCACCCTGTGTGAGAATCTGGACTCTCTGGATGAGCCCGATGCTCGTGCTGCCATGATCTGGATTGTCGGCGAGTATGCCGAGAGGATCGACAATGCTGATGAGTTGCTAGAGAGCTTCCTTGAAGGCTTCCATGATGAGAGCACTCAGGTAGGTTCATACTGGAATCCTCATTTTGTAGCACAAGTATTTTTTCCACAGACAAAAAGATGTTTCAGAGTATATCCTTGTATAAAGGATAATTTGGGTTATGATGGTCTTATTATTATTATGTAGACAGTTTCTGTCAGTTATAATAACCTTGTACTTATCAAGCTAAATGAGATCTGAGAACATGACAGCATTGCTCAAAATATGTGTGACTAGGCAAGAAACAACAGCAGTTCAACCTTCAGACAGAATGTGATTGAGACAACATTTGGATTTTGGAGTTAAAAGTAACTACATGGGGAAAACAAATCATAATATCGGATGACATTTAATCATAGCAAAACTGTGGTAAATTAATAATAGTAATAATCTCGTTATACAGGAAATCAGTGCATAAAACTACAGAAAGTATGGTAGGTCAAAATTAAGCAAGAAAGTTGGTCTTCCTGTTGAAATCATGCCCTGTTAAACAGCTAGATTGCCAACTACACGCCCAAGTGATATGATCCATTTCTCTTTTTGTGTAGCACACAGTGGAGCATGTACGCTGGTTTTCCTCTGTTTATTATAGGTCTGTCTGTAGTCATTATCAGCTGGGTGCCGCTGGTTCCATACGGATCCAGCCAGGTTTTCATGGCAGCGCCGAAAAAAAATGTCCCGC